TGAGATGGATAGCCAGTGAGCCATGGGCGTGGTTAGATATGGCCCATCCTAGGTACATTTCCCACCCCACATCTCTGCTCCTAGTGCATCCGCCTACTCCACCAGCGCATGGGGACTTGGATCCTGGTGGGAAAGGCCACTGGGCTTCAGCGTCTCTCCAGATTTTGGGATGGAGACAGGAGAGTGGCTGGCTCCTCCTGGCCCTGGAAGATGGTAAAAGCCCCGGATCTGGGAGCCTTCTGGAGGGAGCAGGGGAGGGCCTGTATGTGAGGGTAGGGTCTGGTCTCTTGGCTTCTGTAGCAAGGTGGAGGCAGCTGGGGCTTCTACCTGAATATTTTTGCCCAGGGCAGGGTTGGCACTGGGCTCCATGCACTGCTGGGTGCTTTGCTCCAGCAGGATCCTGCCCCATCCCCCAGCTGAACCGTTCGGTCTCCAGAGCAGACTTGGAAAAGGCTCTGGAGCACCCTGAAGTCCACAGCCCCCTGTTCTAGAACCTCCCTACTCCAGAGGCCCCCGGTCCAGAACCTCCTTCTCTAGAATACCCTGTTCTGAAAACCCTGTCGTTCTAGATCTCACAGCCCTGTAATGGTCCCAGGCCAGCCCCCCAAACTCTACAGTCACTCTGCTCTGGGACCCCCATTCTAAAACCCAACTTGAGAACCACCCAACCCTAAAACTGCCATGTTCTGGAGCCCTCGGGGCCAGAACCCCCAACTCTAGAACACTCCTCTTCTACAACCCCAAACATAACCCCCTATCTCTAGAATCACCGACTCAAGAACTTGCTGTTCTAGAACCCCCGACTCTAGGATCATCCTATTCAAGAGCCACCCCCAGCTACAGGACACCCCCCCAGCTCTAGAATGGCCCTCTCTAGCTCCCACAGAGGTGACGGGCCGGACACAGGGATTGCTGGGGGAAATTCGCTGGCCTGTGCCATGCAGGAGGTCAGACTAGGTGACCACAGTGGTCCCATGCCAGCCCCCTTCTCCACCCCCCCCCACGCTCTCCTCCCCCATGGGTGTGTACAGTATGCCTGTGTATACATGGAGGAGGGGTTGTGGGAGGGCCCAGCACATCCTGGGAGCCGGGGGTTGGCTGGCAAACTCAGTGCCCAGAAACGCCAACGATGGGCACCTTGGCAATCCGGAGACACACAGATCAGGGTGGAGGATGGGCAGTGAACACCCATTCCCTTTAATCCTCTCCTTCCCCGATAGTTATTGACGGTGCTACTGGCCCACAGCTGCCCTCCTGCCCCCATGGTCACGAGAGGCTGCAGGTGGGATCGAGCCAGGGTACGGGGGTGTCATCGTGGGAGGCTGTTTCTGGCCTCCCCCTTAAAAATTCTCCACCCACTGGAACCCTGAAAGTTCTCAGTGTTGCTTGGCAACCGGAGCAGCGGGCGCTAGGCAACGCAGTTGCTAGGGAGCATGTGTGTGTGTAGGGGATGATTGGCAGCTCTGGCAGAGGCCTGGCAAATGGCACTTGACCAGATGAGCAGCCCCCCCCCCCCCCCAGTGCCAGGGTATGAGGGTTGCCAATTTTGGGTGGACGTATTCCTGGAGGTTTCATCACATGACATAATCTTTAATTAAAGATTCATCTTTAATTCCTGGAGACTCCGGGCCAATCCTGGAGGGCCAACCCCAGAGCTGGGAACAGACCCAGAAGTCCTGCTTCCCAGCTCCCTGCTCTAACCCATGCCCCTGTCTAGTCACTCCCCGCAATTCCCTGGGCAGTGCAGGGAGCTGGCCCCATGCTGCCCGCCCCCCCCCCCATGCCCTGAGCACTCAACCCATGATTACCGGCCCCAGTCCCCCCCTCCACAGCCCCCCTGCCAGCTCTGCATGCCAGCAGCACAGGCCCCCTGCAGCCAGTGGCCCTGCCCGGAGCTGGGCACCGACCAGAAACATCCCACAGGAGGGGACCCTGGTACGGCCACCCCCCACCCCCTGTCCAATGCACTGTACCAACACCACCCCGTTCTCCTGCCCCTAAAACAGCCCCTCCCCCAGCCCATCCCCAAGACACTGAACCCCCCCCGTTTACCTCCTGCCCCTAAAACAGCCCCTCCCCCAGCCCATCCCCAAGACACTGTACCCCCCCCGTTTACCTCCTGCCCCTAAAACAGCCCCTCCCCCAGCCCATCCCCAAGACACTGAACCCCCCCCCGTTTACCTCCTGTCCCTAAAACAGCCCCTCCCCCAGCCCATCCCCAAGACACTGTACCCCCCCCCCGTTTACCTCCTGTCCTTAAAACAGCCCCTCCCCCAGCCCATCCCCAAGACACTGAACCCCCCCCCCGTTTACCTCCTGTCCCTAAAACAGCCCCTCCCCCAGACACTGAACCCCCCCCGTTTACCTCCTGCCCCTAAAACAGCCCCTCCCCCAGCCCATCCCCAAGACACTGAACCCCCCCATTTACCTCCTGCCCCTAAAACAGCCCCTCCCCCAGCCCATCCCCAAGACACTGAACCCCCCCCATTTACCTCCTGCCCCTAAAACAGCCCCTCCCCCAGCCCATCCCCAAGACACTGTACCCCCCCCCCGTTTACCTCCTGCCCCTAAAACAGCCCCTCCCCCAGCCCATCCCCAAGACACTGAACCCCCCCCGTTTACCTCCTGCCCCTAAAACAGCCCCTCCCCCAGCCCATCCCCAAGACACTGAACCCTCCCCCCGTTTACCTCCTGCCCTTAAAACAGCCCCTCCCCCAGCCCATCCCCAAGACACTGAACCCCCCCCCCGTTTACCTCCTGCCCCTAAAACAGCCCCTCCCCCAGCCCATCCCCAAGACACTGAACCCCCCCCCTTTACCTCCTGCCCCTAAAACAGCCCCTCTCCCAGCCCATCCCCAAGACACTGAACCCCCCCCCCGTTTACCTCCTGCCCCTAAAACAGCCCCTCCCCCAGCCCCTCCCCAAGACACTGAACCCCCCCCCCCCGTTTACCTCCTGCCCCTAAAACAGCCCCCCTCCGCTTCCATCACCTCCCGCCACAGTAGGCCCCAGCTATCCATTAGCAATGGATTCCCAGACACATTCAGAGCAGAGATGGAGGGGAGAGGTAACCCCCCCCCCCCAAAGATCTCCTGAATGTGACAGATCTCCAACCAAGCTGGCCATGGAACCCAGCCCCAAAGAAAGGGGGCCAAACCCCTGAGCCACCCAGTCCCTGGAGCCGGATGGGAGCTGGCACACCCTAGAGGGGACAGGCCCATGCGCCCCCCAGAGCAGTCCCAGGGCAGGGGCATGCTGGTGGGGGGCTGTGGCAGCAAAGCCCCCTTGGGTAGCCCCCCCATTCCACAGTGTGGCACCTGCCCCCCAGCAGGCCCGTTGGGCAGCCCATAGAGTGGTCTCTGTGTCCATGCGGGTTGGGGGAGACTGCTACATCCATTACCCTGTGGGGAGGGGTCTGTAGTTTATATCCAGCATCCCCAGGCTGAGTTGGGGGCAGCGGAGCATGTGTGGGGAGGGGAGATCAGGGACCCCCAGTCTAAGGCCAGAGCCAATTCACGCGGCTCTCCAGTAGTTGGCCTGGGAGATCACACCAGCTCCAGACCTGCCTGGCACATGGACACACACACTGCGCCTTAGCTGGTAATTAACAACCGAGGTGCTTTGAGCTGTGATCCCCGAGTAATCTGGTTAATTGGATCCTCCTTAAAATCGGCCTGGGGGCAGGGGACGAGACTGGCTAAGGTGGGGTCCTCCCCAGGGTTCAGGGTGGGTTCCTTCTGACCCTTTGCAGCCCAGAGATCCCCCTTTGCCCCCCCACCACCACCTGGTGGCCCCTCTCAGGCTTCCTTTGTATCATTTCACCCCAGGCTGGGCTGCCCCTGGGATAATGCAGCCCCGGCAGGTAACAGTAGGACCCCAGGGTGCTTATCAGGTGTCCACTCGCTGGGGTGTCCCTGGATTTCCTCCCCTCCCCAATTCTACTGCAAATTAACTCCTCCCAACATAGCTCCCCTCCCCCTCCCCCAGCTCTGGCCCTAGCAGGCGGCGACAGATGGCGAGAGGTTTGCAGATGCCCCACGGAGCAGGGGACAGATGAATGCACCAGCCGGCTGAAAATGCCACTGTTTAGTTACTGCTAAATGTTTGAATTAATCCCCCTCCGAGTCCCCCATGGCCCCCGGGGCCCAAAGCCAGCGATCACCCATTCACCTTATGGTGAAATAAGTTTCTCTGGAGCCTTTCCAAGAAGGCCATGGGGCAGGCTTGAGGGGCAGGCACAGGAGGTCAGGCTTGAGGCGCATGGCCAGAGCTGTGGGGGAAGCAGAGGTAGGATAACAGGGGGCACAGGTTGAGATTAAGAGCGTTGGCAGAGGTGGAAGGGCTGGAGCCCAGGGCCCGGGTAGCAGAAGGGTCAGGGGTGAGGAGCATCGACACAGCTGGGTGCGATGGGTCAGGATCAAGGGGCGTTGACTGAGCTGTGGGAAGGGAGGGGACTCAGGGCTGGGATCGGCGGGGCTGCGGGTCAGGAGCCAGGGGCGTCGGCAGAGCTGTGGGGATGGATTTGGCAGCCAAATAAAGGGAACATTCCTCGAACCCCTCCGCTCTCCCCACAGCCCCATCAGCGCCCGGGGCACCAGCCAAAGGGGGTCAGTGTTATATAGCCCAGTCAGTGCAGGTGAACTGGGGTCCAGTGCCCTGGGCAGGGAGTGGGGCCCGGACGCCTGGGTTCTATCCCAGCTGCGCGGGGGGCCCGGTGCTCAGGGCAGGGGGTGGGGCCCGGACGCCTGGGTTCTATCCCAGCTGCGAGGTGGGGCCGGTGCTCAGGGCAGGGGGTGGGGGCCGGACGCCTGGGTTCTATCCCAGCTGCGCGGGGGGCCCGGTGCTCAGGGCAGGGGGTGGGGCCCGGACGCCTGGGTTCTATCCCAGCTGCGCGGTGGGGCCGGTGCTCAGGGCAGGGGGTGGGGGCCGGACGCCTGGGTTCTATCCCAGCTGCGCGGTGGGGCCGGTGCTCAGGGCAGGGGGTGGGGGCCGGGGGTTCTATCCCAGCTGCGCGGTGGGGCCGGTGCTCAGGGCAGGGGGTGGGGCCCGGACGCCTGGGTTCTATCCCAGCTGCGCGGGGGGCCCGGTGCTCAGGGCAGGGGGTGGGGGCCGGACGCCTGGGTTCTATCCCAGCTGCGCGGTGGGCGGTGAGATGGGTCCAGTGCTCGGGGCAGTGAGCACGCGGCCAGAGGCGGTTGCAGCCACTGATTGGCTAGGCTTCAGAGAGTGGGCGGGCCCTCCCCGCGGATTGGCTGGAAGGCAAGAAAACGAAGCGGCCGGAGGGACTCGCCCCAGGATTGGCTAGATCAACGGAGGCGGGCGGTCCTTATTCCGGATTGGCTGGAGGTTGGAAAGGGGCGTGACCGGAACCAAAGACGATTTCTGATTAGCTATCCCCCGGGGACTGGGCGGGACATCCCCCCGGATTGGCCCGGGGCGCGGAGTGGGCGGGGCAATGTCGGCGGCGCTGCAGCAGGCGCTGGGCGCGGCGGGGCCCGGCCCGGCCCCGGCCCCGGCCCCGGCCCTGGTGCTAGGCCCGGCCCGCTCCGGCCGCTCGGCGCTGCTGTTCCGGGCGGCCCGGGGCGGGCCCCGCGCGCTGTTCCTGGCGCCTCGCGCCCTGCAGCGGCTGCCGGGGGCCCGGCGCGGGGAGAGCGACCTGCGCGACCTGCAGGTGATGGGCGGGGCCTGCGCGGAAGGGGCGGGGCCAAGGGCACGGGGCGGGGCCTGCGCGGAAGGGGCGGGGCCAAGGGCCCGGGGCGGGGCCTGCGCGGAAGGGGCGGGGCCAAGGACGCGGGGCGGGCTGCGCGGAAGGGGGGGGGGCCAAGGGTCAAAGTCTTAGGGGGCGGGGGGCTGAATGTGGGGAGAAGCTGGAGGCCGCAGTGCCTGATGGGAGCGGGGAGCTAAGGGGTGGGGCTTCATGGCAGGGGGGGAGCCTAAGGGGCAGGGCATCAGATAAAGGGAGGGGCCTGAGGAGTGGGAGGGGCCAGATAGGGCGGGGCTTTTCTGGAGGTGGGGGGGTTGGTGCTGGCATAGGACAGCTGGCGGCCTGTACCTGGCGGGGTGTTGGCAGGGGGATGCCAGGCAGGGGAAGGGAGGATATACTGGGTTGGGACTAGCTGGGAGGCAGGGGGGCTTGGCTGTGGTTGGCCTGGTGAGGGAGGGGCTCCCGGGCGGGGGCGGGATGGGCTGTGGGGGAGGGGATCCCAGGCTGGGGCAGGATGGACTGTGGGGGAGGGGATCCCAGGCTGGGGCAGGATGGGCTGTGGGGGAGGGGATCCCGGGCGGGGGCTGACCCAGTTCAATCGCTTCCCTCCCCTTCCCCACCCTAGCGCATCCAGTTCCTCTACCCGCCCTCCCTGCGGGAGCTGCGGCAGCTGTTGGCCTCGCTGCACCAGAGCCTGCCTGGGCCCCCTGCCCTCATCTTGCTGGATGGCCTGGAGCATTACCTCGCTGGTTGCCCTGGCCCTCAGGCAGCCGCCCGGCTCTCAGCCCTGCTGGTGGACACAGCTTCGTACTTCACGGGGCGCCTCGGCGCGGACCCCCAAGGATCTGCCCCCTGCTGCCAGCTCATCGCCTCCGTGCAGGTCTCCGGGGAAACAGAGGTTGAGGATCATCTCAGCATCCTCCAGCGCTACTTCCCAGCCCAGTGCTGGCTGTGCCCAGACTCGGCGGCAGCCCTGGGCCAGGAGGACTGCGGGGGCGACGGGCTGTTCAGGGCACGCCTGTCCCAGCCCGGTGCTCCAGACCGGGAATGGAGGCTGGGATTCGGCCTCGATGGAGAGATGAGGGTATCCCCGGTTCCACAGGGCTGTGCAGAGGATCCAGGGGCAGCTTCGGACAGAGACAGAGCTGCCGGGGCTGAGAAGTGACCGCTGGGGCTCTGGCCTCTAGCATTCTCCACTGGAGATGTAAATCCGTCTGTTTCCCGAGTGAGGGTTTCTGCCCTGGTCGTTGGCTGAAGCTTGGGCGATTTGAGGGGGCATACAGAGACGTATTTTCCCCTCTTGGCCTGCTTAATTTGCCACCCACAGTGAATAGAAATGGTGGAAAATTCAACAATACAAATCTGTTTATTCCAGTACCGCCGAAGGAGCAGCCGAGATCGGGCCTGCCCCCACATCGCGCCAGGTGCTGCACAGACAGCATAATGTGCAGTCTCTACCCCTGAATCTAATTTATTTTCCAGGGTTTCGGCTCTCTGAAGAGGTGGGGTGACCTGACCAATTAGCTGCGCCCAACTCTGAGGGGGAGCCCATCTGTTCCAGTGCGTAGGATGCAGGGCTCGGAGCGGAGGAGATCGGGCCTCTGTTCCTGGCTCTTGCCACTCACCTGCTGTCTGACCTCGAGTCATTTCCCCTGCTCTGAGCGTTAGCCCCTACTCCCGGTCCAGAGCCAGTAATAAAACCTGACTCCAGCCCCTCCCAGATCTGGGAGTAGAACCCAGGAGTCCTGGCTCCCAGGCCCTCCCTCTCCTGTTCTAACCCACTAGACCGCACTCCCCTTCCACAGCCACGAATGTCCCTCCCAGCTGGCTCAGTGCCATGGAGCTGATCTGGCACAGGGCTGGGGGCATTGGCACAAGGACGGTGAAGCCACGAATCAGGCCCAGCAGCCCCTGGAGCCTTCAGCTCCTGCCCCCTCCCGGCTCTCCCGACGGGCTCCCGTCCCAAGGGGCTCACCCTGCCGATGTTGGATCGGCGCCCGTCCCTGCCGAGAGTCAGCGCTTGGCTGGGCTTCCGCTGCCTGCCACAAGCTGAGCTGCTGCTGATAATGCCCGGGGGGGGGGGGGGGGGAGGGGGGCTGGTTGCTGTGGAGATAATCGCTATCAGGTGGGGACGGGCGCTGAGCCAAAGGGTTCTGCCTGCTGCCTGCCTGTGGGGCTGTTTGGAGGGTGGGGGGTGGTCCTCACGCTGGTGGGAGGCTGGATCCAAGCAGAGCTACTCCCCCGATTCCGCCCCTGGCACCCCGGCACTGTCTGCCGCCCGTTCGAGCTACGCCACGGTGTTTCTGCCAGCGCCCGGGCTGAGAGCCAGTGGAGTCATTGACGCTTAGTGGCACGGGAGAGCCAGCAGCGCCCAGGGCTCGTTGCCACGTTTCCTTGCACTTGGGCCGGGCACGTGCAAGACCCCAGCACGCGGGACAGGCAGCCATGCACGCTGGCTTTAACCGGTGTCGCGATCCTCAGGCCCTGCTACGAGGAACGGAAAACATGATTTATCTGTATGATGGCAGTGTCCAGGATCCCATTGTGCTAGGTGCTGTACAAACTCCAATCACAAAGCCAGTTCCTGCCTAAAGGGGTTCCAGTCTCTCCCCCGGCATCTTTTCCCCCTGCGTCTCCCTCGCTCTAAGCTGGCCTGACAAGGCTGGTCCAGGCACAGATGGGGAAGCAGGTTTCTACCCAGCAGAGAAGGCGGCAGTCCCCTGGAGGAGCAGTGAGGGGGAAATGCTGAACCGGTTTGAAGTCGGAGCTTGATTGGTTTCAGACTGAGCTGACGTAACGGGGCATCCCGGAGCCGTGGAGCCTTCCCCAGCAGAAAGTAGGCAGACGTGGAGTGGAAAAAACCAGCCCCTTTATTAAAAGACCAAGATCTCTCACGCATCCAGCCGCTGCGGGCTCCTGGCTGGGCCCCAGCCCGGCCAGGGCACTGTGCGCTGTGGGGCAGTCCCCTAGTTGGGATTCTCAACCCTAGTTGGGATCCCTCCTAGCCAGCCCCACCTGCTCCCCTTTAACAAGCCCCTGGCCTAAGCTGGGGCCCCACCGCTGCCGGGCAGATAGGAGCCCTCAACCCCCAGGTGTTTCAATGCTGGCCAGGTGGGTTGGTCTCACCCCAAGAGGGCTGTGGTGGTGCCAGGGCGAATCAGTCCATCTGGCGCCGGCAGCATCCCTTAAAGGGTTAATGACGAGAGCGCCCCAGGGCAGGGACGACCCCGTGGGGTTAAATACCTATAGCAGAGGGAAGATCCCAATGACAACCCGGGTTGGTCAGTATTGTCAGCCCTGTTTTACAAGTGGGGAAACAGGTGCAGAAAGGGGGCGGGGGTGGGACTTGCCCCAGGTCACAAAGCCAGTCAGTGGCACAGCTGGGATAGAACCCAGGAGTCCTGACGCCCAGCTCCCCTAGCTCTAACCACTAGGCCTCACTCTCCTCCCACAGCTGGGGCTGGAACCCAAGAGTCCTGACACCCGACCCACCCCTCACTCTAACCTCTAGCCCCTACTGCCTGGCTACTACATTGGTCACAGCAGTAACAGATTTACAGGGGTAACGGGGCTTTTTGAGCTTTCCTCCCCTATACACATAAGTACAAAAAGAAAAGGGGCAGGATTGCAGGACTCCCAGCACCCCTTGCAGCCGAGCCAGGCTGGGGGTGGGGGGAGAGCAGAGTGGGTGGGCTCCCCTTGGTGGCACAGGGGGCTACAGCTTCCACCCAACTCGTGTTTCGAATCCAAGCCAGCTCTGGTGAGGGGGGGGGGCGATTGGAGGTAACGCCCCCTGCTGGCAGGTTGGTCCCTGACCACCTGCTCCACGGCTGCAACAGCCAGCACCGTCCACGTCGCCCCGTGGCCCATCCGGCCAGGTGGGAGTTTCCGTCCCGGCGAGAGCCCAGTCTGAACCTGAGCTGGGGCAGTTCGGCTCCCACCTGCCTTGGCTCCCACCACAGCCTGGCAAGCACCGGGCAAGAGGGAGCTGGTGCTGGGGTCATATATCCATCCTCAACCTCCTGCTGGGACGGGGGTCTCCTTTACCTCCTCCCAGGTCTCCTGAACCTCCTGCCGGGACGGGGGTCTCCTTTACCTCCTCCCAGGTCTCTGAACCTCCTGCCGGGACGGGGTCCCCGCGACGTCCTGCCGGGAAGGAGTTTCCTCCACGTCTGGCAGACCTGGGGGTCCATCTCTGTTCGCCAGGCCCGGAGTCCCCTGCCCATCCGCCGGCACTATGAGCACACCACGTAGCTGGCTGGGAAGGGCTGGGCCTGGCCCCCATCCTGGCACAGGTTGGTGTAGAGGTTGGGCCGGTTGGTGCTGGTGCCCAGGGGGCCGTAGTCAGCAGAGATCCCGGAGTCGGACACCAGCAAGTAGCTGTATTTGAGCGGGCGCTGATGCCCACAGGGTGCCAGCAGCTCCGAACTGGGGTCGAAGACGGTGTACTCGAAGCTGGAAGAGGACGAGACCTGCTCCCCCGGGACAGGCTCCGGTGTGGCCCCCGGGGGGCCCAGCTCCTGCCCCACGGCAGGGGGGGCTTCAACGCCCGCACTGCTCCAGGCATCCAGCAGGAGCAGAGAGTCCTCGCCCAGGCTGCATGGCATCAGCTGTTCATCCAGCACCAGGTAGTCGCCCTGGGGCTCTGCGGGCAGCTGAGGGCGGCTGGGCAGAGCCGAGCCCTGGGCTTTGAGGGGCAGAGGGGGCACCGGCCCCTCCGCCTTGGATTCGCGGCCCTCGGACAGCACCTCCAGCAGGCTGGGCTGCTCCTCCAAGTAGCCAGGGTTCCCACTCCACCAGAGGCAGGCGTTCCTTTGTCCCAGCCAGAGCTGCGAAGGCAACAGGGCTTGGATCACCGGAGAGGCTGGGTGCGGGGGCACCTTCTGAGCCAGGCCTGGTGGTCTGAGCCTCCTCTCCGCACCCCTGGACTCTCAAGTTCTGCCTGTCCCCCCAGCACCCACCCTGGGCCAGATCCTGCCAGCCCCTTTGTTTTAAACCAAGGATTTATGTAGGGCCTACAACAACAATGCCTAGCATTTGGCAGCGTGAAAACCAGACCCGGGCTCACTCCGCAGCTTGGCCCTTCTCTGGGGGCTTCCCCATCTCTAAGCATCTCCCCCCCCGGACAACCACTCTGGTCCCCCAGCCCAATGCGTCCCCCCAGCATCAGACCCCCATAGCCCCAGCACAGATGTGGGCAGTGTGGCGTGGTGGGCAGTGTGGTGACTTCCCCCCAGCAGGCCCTGCTGGCCAGACCCCTCCATGCGTCGATGGGCTGCAGCCCCCTGTGGGGCCCCTGGCCAGGGCAGAATCCGGTACCTGGAAGTTCCCCTTGTAGAGGGTGAAAAGCCCCTCGAATTTGTGCTCCGGGCTGGGAATCACAGGCCACAGCTGCTTCTTCAAAAACCTTGGGGGGGAGCGGGGGGGGACAGTAGTGAACAGGAGACAAGCCCGGGCGTGAATCCTCCCCCCCGCCCCGGCAATGGAAATGCGTGTGCACCCACCCTGCAAACGCTCGTGGGCCATTGGCGGCAGGGGGCTCAGGAGATACGGTCCCCAGTGCCGCCCCCACGCCTCGTGCATCCCCTCACACACACGACCGCCAAGCATATGCAGACACGTTGCCAGACGCATGCGCATGCTACCCTAGACAAGTACATACATGCACGCCCCCCTGGGGACTCCCCTCCGTGCACACATGCCTTGCGCATACTCTCACACACGTGCCCAGTCCCCCACACACGTGTGAGGCGTGTGTGCACATGTGCACCCCTGGACACACACCTCCATGCACGCGCACACGCCTCACACACAAATGCATACCGCCCCCAAACATGACTGCACACATGGGCATCTGCACACACAACCTCGCAGCCCCCCTTGCACCCCTGCACCCCCCTCCCACAACCTTACAGCCCCCACCCCCACTCCTCTGCCCACCTGGGCACCACACCCAGTTTGGCAGGCGTGTGCGCATGAGTAAGGCTGGGGTTGAAACCTTAGCCTGGAGGGGCCCAGCGGGTGCGGGAAGGGCTGTCCCGGTGGGCACGGGCGTGGCGGGCAGTACCTGCGGTGGGTGAGCAGGGCAAAGAGGGCCAGGAGCACCACGATGAGCACCAGGATGAGCGACAGCGACAGGATCAGGGGGTCCAGATCTGCAAGGTGGGGTGGCAGGGTCAGGAGCTGCCTCCAGTGGGATCATAGAGAAGGGCCCAGGATCGGACCCCCAGACCATCCCGCGGCCCCCTCCACCCCCACCCCACCCCGCTATCCCCCTCCACCCAACGGCCCCTCCACCCCCATCCCCACCCCGCTATCCCCCGCCACCCAACGGCCCCTCCACCTCCACCCCGCTATCCCCCACCACCCAACGTGGAGGGGGCCTCCAGGGAGGGGGTCTCACCGTGGGGCGTCACCACGGTGACCGGCGCCGACCAGGCACTCCAGTAGCCGCTGTAGCTGACGCCGTCGGGCTTGACGCGCACGGCCAGGGCGTAGCGGGTCCGGCCCCGCAGGTTGAGGATCAGGCACTCGGTGCGGCCGTCGGGGATGTCGACCTGCAGGGGGCAGGAGGGCAGGGTGAGGGGCGCCGGGCGGGGCCGGGGCCGGGGCAGGGCAGGGCAGGGCAGGGCAGGGGCGGGCTCACCATCTGGCGCTCGGCGCCCTCGGGGGCGAAGGCCACCTCGTAGCGCAGGCTGCTCTCCAGGTAGCGGAGGCTGGGCGGCTGCCAGCTCACCGTCAGCTGCCCCGGGCTCTCGGTTGCACGCGCCGTCAGGTTGGACGGAGGGTCCAGGAGAACTGCGGCCGGGAGGGGGGAAGACGTGAGCTGGTGTGTCCGGGAGCCTGGGAATGGGGCTCGAGGCCTTTCCCCTCTAGGGGGCGCTGGCCCGGGGGGGGGGGGCTGGGGCGGGAGTCTGGCAATGGGGCCGTTTCCCTCTGGGGGCGCCAGCCTCAATCCAGTCCCAAGGAGGGGGACGGGTTGGCTCAGGGGCGTGGGGCATGGGAACTTTCCCCTCAAGGGGGCGCCAGCACCCATCTGGCCCAGGGCAGGGGAATTAGCTGGGTCGGGGGGTGGGGAGTGGGGCATGGGGTCTTTCCCCTCCAGGCACTGGCTCCGATCTGGCCCAGGGCAGGGACTGGCTGGGGGGGGGGGGGGCAGGGAATGGGTCACAGGGCCTTTCCCCTCTAGTCAGTGCTGGCTCCCATGTGGCCCGGGGCTGGAGACTGGATAGCTCGGGGTGGGGGGGGCGGAGGAGGGGGAGATGGCTCCAATCCGGCCTGGGGCAGGAGGGCTGGCTGGCTTGGGGGGACTGGTCATGGGGTATGGGGCCTTTCCCCTCTAGGGGGCGCCGGCTCCGATCTGGCTTGGGGCAAGAAGACTGGCTGACTCGGGGGGACTGGTCATGGGGTATGGGGCCTTTCCCCTCTAGGGGGCGCCGGCTCCAATCCGGCCTAGGGCAGGAGGACTGACTGGCTTAGGGGGACTGGTCATGGGGTATGGGGCCTTTCCCTCTCCGATTGTGGGGCAGAAGACTGTGATCGAACTGTAATGGGGTATGGGGCCTTTCCCCTCTAGGGGGCACCGGCTCCGATCTGGCCTGGGGCAAGAAGACTGGCTGACTCGGGGGGACTGGTCATGGGGTATAGGGCCTTTCCCCTCTAGGGGGCGCTGGCTCCCATCCGGCCTGGGGCAGGAGGACTGACTGGCTTAGGGGGACTGGTCATGGGGTATGGGGCCTTTCCCCTCTAGGGGGCGCCGGCTCCGATCCGGCCTAGGGCAGGAGGACTGACTGGCTTAGGGGGACTGGTAATGGGGTATGGGGCCTTTCCCCTCTAGGGGGCACCGGCTCCGATCTGGCCTGGGGCAAGAAGACTGGCTGACTCGGGGGGACTGGTCATGGGGTATGGGGCCTTTCCCCTCTAGGGGGCGCCGGCTCCAATCCAGCCCGGGGCAGGAGGACTGGCTGGCTCGGGGGGACTGGTCATGGGGTATGGGGCCTTTCCCCTCTAGGGGGCGCCGGCTCCAATCCAGCCTAGGGCAGGAGGACTGACTGGCTTAGGGGGACTGGTCATGGGGTATGGGGCCTTTCCCCTCTAGGGGGTGCTGGCTCCGATCTGGCTTGGGGCAAGAAGACTGGCTGACTCGGGGGAACTGGTAATAGGGTATGGGGCCTTTCCCCTCTAGGGGGCACCGGCTCCGATCTGGCCTGGGGCAAGAAGACTGGCTGACTCGGGGGGACTGGTCATGGGGTATGGGGCCTTTCCCCTCTAGGGGGCGCTGGCTCCCATCCGGCCTGGGGCAGGAGGACTGACTGGCTTAGGGGGACTGGTCATGGGGTATGGGGCCTTTCCCCTCTAGGGGGCGCCGGCTCCGATCCGGCCTAGGGCAGGAGGACTGACTGGCTCGGGGGGACTGGTCATGGGGTATGGGGCCTTTCCCCTCTAGGGGGCGCCGGCTCCCATCCGGCCTGGGGCAGGAGGACTGGCTGGCTCGGGGGGACTGGTCATGGGGTATGGGGCCTTTCCCCTCTACCCCGGGGCGGAGGACTGGCTGGCTGGGGGGACTGGTCATGGGGTATGGGGCCTTTCCCCTCTAGGGGGCGCCGGCTCCAATCCAGCCCGGGGCAGGAGGACTGGCTGGCTCGGGGGGACTGGTAATGGGGTATGGGGCCTTTCCCCTCTAGGGGGCGCCGGCTCCAATCCAGCCCGGGGCAGGAGGACTGGCTGGCTCGGGGGTACGTGGGGCCTTTCCCCTCCCGGCTCTCACACCTACCCACTTGGTTGACCATGATGGTGCGGGCGTGGACGATGTTGCTGCTGTTGCCAGTGTAGGCACCAACGTGCAGGGGGGTGAAAGACGGGGTGTCCTGGGGGGGGAAGATGCAGGTGAAGCGGGTGCTGTTCCAGGGCGTCCGGGCCACGCTCAGGTTGCAGCGCTGCGGGGCGTCCCCCCTGTCAGAGGCGGGGAGAGAGGGGGGCAGGGGGTCAGCAGCAGCAGAGGCTGGGGGGAGGGGAGGCCTGGGGCCCTTTCATGCACGCCCTCTGCCCGGGGCAGCAGACGTGGGATGGGGGTATCAGCAGAGGGGGCACGCTTCGTGGGGCACATGCTGGGGCTGGCCTGGGGGGCACAGCCTGAGGGTGCAGAGGGAGGGGGCAAGGGGCAGGCTGTGGGATGAGACTTGGGGGCACAGAGGCGGGCATGGGAGGGACGGGGGCACGATGGCATTCCAAGACTTGCCCTCTCCCCCCCCCTCATCTCCCCACAGAGGGGCTCCTGGTGCGGGAGGGGGACTCACTCCACGACATAGAAGAAGCCGTATTCCGTGGCGCTCGGGGGGCTGCTGCTCTCCCAGAAGCAGGTCAGGTCCTCCAGGCAGCGCGTGAAACATTTGGGGTCCAGGGGCTCCTCACCCAGAAGCAGGGCAGCTGGGGGCACAGGGAGGGCCCAGTTAGCAGCCACCTCTCCCCCACCATCCACACGGACCAATTAACAACCCCCCCACCCCGAGTCATCGAGCGATCCCCCCGATCCTAGTCCTGCACCCCCAAAGCCTGGCCAGCGAAGAACGCCGCTACCCTGCAGCAAACCCTGCGCCCTAGTAACATCCTGCTGCTGGGGGTTCTGAGGGTTAACAGCCCCTTGCCCTGAACCGCCCGGGGAGGTGGCTCCAAGAGAGACCTTCGCAGCCAGGTACAAGAACAACCCCAACCCCCAGCAGGCAACAGGCCCCAGCTGCCGCTGAGAGTGAGGGGTCTCGTCTGGAGCCAGCCGGCCCTGCCCGAGGGATTCCTGGGGGCAGACCTCCGCTCCCTGGGTCTGCCCCACTGCAGACGGACGCCCCGTGAATGGAGCAGGGCACTCCATTGGCACCATGCAGGAGAGTTAATGTGTGCAGGGGACAGTCCGGGTGAATGTGTGTGTGTGTGTGTGTGTGTGAATATCTATGTGTGCACGAGTGTCTACTGACTCGTGAAGGGCTATTCAATAGGGGGTCTGTGTGTGTGTGTATCTGTGTGTGTGTGTAGCTCTGTGTCTGCAGATGTGTGTGTGTATCTATGTGTGTACCTCTGTGTGTGTGTGTGTATCTGTGTGCATGTGTGTGAAGGAAGGTGTGTGTATATATAGATATATGGGTGTGGATGTCTGTGTGTGAAGGAAGGTGTGTGTATATATAAATATATGGGTGTGGATGTCTGTGTGTGAAGGTAGGTGTGTGTCTGTGTCTGTATTGTATGGGGGGGTAGGACTAGGTGTATGTGTACATGTGGGTGATTGTGTGTAGAAAATAATAACACAGCTCCTCACTACACGGTTATACTGTGTCCGGGCAGCGCCCGGCACAACTGGGCCTTTGGGCTCTACCATAATCCAGATAATACATATGATTAGTTCGTGCTTCGTTTATTAGACCAGGGCCTGTTCCAGGCATTTCACGGGGATTCAGCCACGTGCAGACACAGAATTCCCCTTAGCCTCTGTCATTTTGCTTGAAGCTGCTTTCTGTTAACAACTCCCAGTCTGCGTCACGCATGGAGTCGAGAAATGATCTTTAATTACCTGTTCTATATTATTACCTTATAGGCTACGTTCCCTTTATATAATTTAGGAAAGTAGATTAGATAGACAGATAGATAGATAGATAGAAGAGGTGTATGGGAATGGATAGATAGATAGATTAGATAGATAGAAGGGGTGTATGGGGATAGATAGATAGATAGACAGATAGATAGATAGATATAGATGGGGTGTATGGGGATAGATAGATAGATTAGATAGAAGGGGTTTATGGGGATAGATAGATAGATAGATTAGATAGATAGAAGGGGTGTACGGAGATAGATGATAGATAGATAGATAGATAGATAGATAGAAGTGGTGTATGGGGATAGATAGATAGATTAGGTAGAAGGGGTGTATGGGGATAGATAGATAGATAGATGGGGTATATGGGGATAGGTAGATACAAGGGGTGTATGGAGATAGATAGATAGATAGATAGATAGATAGAAGAGGTGTATGGGAATGGATAGATAGATAGATTAGATAGATAGAAGGGGTGTATGGGGATAGATAGATAGACAGATAGATAGATAGATATAGATGGGGTGTATGGGGATAGATAGATAGATTAGATAGATAGAAGGGGTGTATGGGGATAGATAGATAGATAGATAGATTAGATAGATAGAAGGGGTGTACGGAGATAGATAGATAGATAGATAGATAGATAGTATAGATGGGGTGTATGGGGTAATAGATAGATTAGATAGATAGAAGGGGTGTATGGGGATAGATAGATAGATTAGGTAGAAGGGGTGTATGGGGATAGATAGATAGATAGATAGATAGATAGATGATAGATAGATAGATAGAAGAGGTGTATGGGAATGGATAGATAGATAGATTAGATAGATAGAAGGGGTGTGTGGGGATAGATAGAGGGGGGTGTATGGGCATAGATAGATAGATGGGGTGTATGGGGATAGATAGGTAGATACAAGGGGTGTATGGAGATAGACAGATAGATAGATATAGATGGGGTGTACGGGGATAGATAGATAGATAGAAGGGGTGTATGGGGATAGATAGATAGATAGATAGATAGATAGATAGATAGATAGATAGAAGGGGTGTACGGAGATAGATAGATAGATTAGGTAGAAGGGGTGTATGGGGATAGATAGATAGATTAGGTAGAAGGGGTGTATGGGGATAGATAGATAGATAGATAGATAGATGGGGTATATGGGGATAGGTAGATACAAGGGGTGTATGGAGATAGATAGATAGATAGATAGATAGATAGATAGATAGAAGAGGTGTATGGGGATAGATAAATTAGATTAGATAGATAGAAGGGGTGTATGGGGATGGATAGATAGATAAATACATAGATAGATAGAAGGGGTATGGGGATAGATAGATTAGATAGAAGGGGTGTATGGGGATAGATAGATAGATAGATTAGATAGAAGGGGTGTATGGGGAGATAGATAGATAGATAGATAGATAGATAGATAGATGTGTATTGGAATAGATAGATGAGATTAGATTTTAGAAAACAATATATTCTTTATAACCCTGTTTTAGGAGCAAAATTCAACTTAACCGCGACTATGGAGGCACGAGCTGCATCTCATTCATATATTAAGAGAAGACGTGGTTTTAACAAAATGTCTGTACGGTAGAGGAATAAAATATCAAAGAAACACAGAAATGTGGGGCTGGAAGGGATCTCGAGAGCTCATCAGCGAGAGCTCATCTGGTCCAGCCCGCTGTGCTGAGGCAGGAGCAAATAAACCTTGACCATCCCTGACCGGGGTTTGTCCAACCGGTTCTTCAAAACCTCGTGTCGGGGATCCCACAACCGCCCTTGGACACCTGGTCCAGAGCTTAGCTCCCCTTAGGGTTAGTTAGAAAGTTTTTCCTAATTCTAGCCTCCATCTCCCTCGCTGCAGATGAAGCCCATTGCTTCTTGTCCTACCCTGCAGGGACAGGGAGAACCATTGATCCCCACCCTCTTTGTAACAGCCCTTAAGCTATTTGAAGACTGTTCTCAGCTCCCCTGTCTCAGTCGTCTTTTCTCAGGACTAAACATGCCCAGGGTTTAATCTTCTCTCACAGATCCGGTTTTCTAAACCTTGGATCGTTTCTGTGGGTCTCCTCTAGCCACTCTCCAATTTGTCCACATCTTCCCTAAAGCGCAGCACCCAGAACTGGACCCAGGACTCCAGCTGAGGGCTCCCCAGTGCCGAGCAGAGCGGGACAGTCACCTCCCGCGTCTCACATATGACACTCCTGCTAATACACCCCGGAATATTAGCCGGTTTCACAACTGCATCACATTGCGGGCTCGTTCAATTTGTGACTCACTCTAGCCCCCAGCTCCTCTTCCTGACACTAGACATTTGATTTTTCCTTCCTGAGTGAAGTACTTTGCACTTGTCTTTACTGAATTTCATCTTGTTGATTTCAGGCCAATTTTCCAATTTGCCAGGGCTGTTTTGAATTCTAATCCTGTCCTCCAAAGTGCTTGGAACCCCTCCCAGCTTAGTGTCAGCCACAAACGTATAAGCACACGCTCCACTCCGTTAGCCAAGTCACTAATACAAATATTGAACAGTACTGGACCCAGGACTGACCCCTGCGGGACCCCAGCAGACACACCCTCACAGTTTGACAGCCAACCATTGATAATTACTCTCTGAGTACAATTTTCAACCAGTTGTGCACCCACCTATCTATCTTACATCTAGACGACATTTCCTTAGTTGGCTTATGAGACTGTCACATGGGACTGCATCCAAAGTGTTACTGAAATCAAGATATTTCCTATCTACAGCTCACTGGGCCAGTAGACAAAGAAGGAAAATACTACATTTGCCCCTGTCCAGTCCTCTGGGACCTCACCCATCCTTCAGGAGCTCTCAAAGATAATCGCTTCAGCTCATTTCTTAAGTAACCTAGGATGGCTTTCATCAGACCCTGCCAACTTGAATGTATCTCACTTATTTAAATATGCTTTACCCTGATCTTTCCTTGTTTTGGCTCTCGCTCCTTCCCCCTGGTTAATCTTCATTGCGTTGAGTACCTGGACACCGTTAGCCATTTTAATGAAGACTGATGCAAAATAGGCATTAGACACTTCGGGCTTCTTGATGTCATCAGTTATTAGCACTCCTTCCCCGCTAAGAAGAGGACCTCCACTTTCCTTTGCCTTTCTCTTGCTCCTAATGGATTTAAAGAACCTCTTCTTCTTGCTTTATATGGCCCTTGCAGGTGTAATCGTTTTGTGGCTTAGCCTGTCTGATTTTGTCCCTACATGATTGTGCTGGTTTTTTGTTCTCCTCCTGAGCAGTTCATCCAGGTTTCCACTTTTAGTAGGAGCCCTTTTTGATTTTCAGGTCATTAAAGAGCTCCTGAAGGAGCCCCACTGGCCTCTTACTCTTCTTCTGATCTCTCCTTTGTATTGGAGACTTTGTATTGGTACTTCAAAGTTGTATCTTTGATAGCGTCTCCTTGAGAAACTGCCAGCTCTCCTCAACTCCTTTATCCCATAGATTTTCTCCCCATGGGACCTCAGCAGCCCGTTCTCGGAGTTTGTCAACGTCGGCTTTTTTTGATGTCCACTGTCCTGTTCCTGCTGCTCTCACTCCTTCCTTTCCCTTGAAACATGGAACCTATTCCATCACAATCACTTCCACCCAAATCACCTTCCAACTTCAGATGCGTGACCAATTCCTCCCCACTGGTCAGAATCAAGTCAAAACTGCCCTTTCCCCCGGTTCCTTCCTCCGCTGGCGGGAACAAACGGCTGGCCCCAGTGCATTCCAGCAGCGGGCTGGAAATCTTGCCGTATGACCTTCCCGACAGATGTGTGGGGAGGTGAAGTGCCCCCTGCTAACTACCAGGTCTTGTGTTTTGGATCCTTCTGTTATTTGTTCTAGAAATGCCTCCTCCACCTTCTCTCCCTGATCTAGGGGTAAACCCCCCACCGTGATGTCACCCCCTCTTTCCCTCCCTTTTATCTTTCAGTTGCTCTGCCTCCCACCTCCTTCTGGGCAAAGACTGTGCAAACCAACCTTGTATGCTACACACGATAAGGACCTTTCAGACTATGTACATGCTTAGATGTCGGAGGTAAAATGCAGTTTGGAAAACATATTCCAAGAGGTTTCAGAGTAACAGCCGTGTTAGTCTGTATTCGCAAAAAGAAAAGGAGTACTTGTGGCACCCTTAGAGACTAACCAATTTATTTGAGCATGAGCTTTCGTGAGCTACAGCTCACTTCATCGGATGCATACCGTGGAAACTGCAGAAGACATTATATACACACAGAGACCATGAAACAATACCTCCGTGTGTTCCCGGCGGGGCGGGGGGGGGGTGAGAAAGCCTGGATTTGTGCTGGAAATGGCCCACCTTGATTACCATGCACATTGTAGGGAGAGTGGTCACTTTGGATGAGCTATTACCAGCAGGAGAGTGAGTTTGTGTGTGTATGGGGGTGAGGGGATGAGAGAACCTGGATTTGTGCTGGAAATGGCCCACCTTGATTATCATGCACATTGTAGGGAGAGTGGTCACTTTAGATAGGCTATTACCAGCAGGAGAGTGAGGTTGTTTGTGGGGGGTGGAGGGTGAGAAAACCTGGATTTGTGCTGGAAATGGCCCACCTTGATTATCATACATATTGTGAAGAGAGTGGTCACTTTGGATGGGCTATTACCAGCAGGAGAGTGAGTTTGTGGGGGGGGGGGGGGGGCGGAGGGTGAGAAAACCTGGATTTGTGCTGGAAATGGCCCAACTTGATGATCACTTTAGATAAGCTATTACCAGCAGGACAGTGGGGTGGGAGGAGGTATTGTTTCATGGTCTCTGTGTATATAATGTCTTCTGCAGTTTCCACGGTATGCATCCGATGAAGTGAGCTGTAGCTCACGAAAGCTCATGCTCAAATAAATTGGTTAGTCTCTAAGGTGCCACAAGTCCTCCTTTTATATTTTGTATAGACACACAAATTATACACACACTTCTCTATCTGTGCATAGACCCACATCTAGCTGTCAATACACGGCACCTTACACACGTATCTCCCAAAACGTATTTCACGTAACATGCACCCCCCCGTCCGTATATAGATATGCAGCTACCTCATTACCTATACAGTCCAACTTTTTACCATATAAGTTTCTCAAAATATATTTCCCATAACACACATGCTTGTACAACGGCCCACCATCCTTATCTGTGCATGGGCTGGGAAGGAGAAGATGTTTATCAGTAAATGTTGATTTCACCACGTACACGCAGAAACTGATAAAAAGTGTTTCCGCCAATGATCACTGAAATCTACGGAGAGAAGGCCGTAGTTTGATTTAAGGCTGTTTCCTTTGCGTGTTTTGATACGTGATGTTGACAAGTTGGGTTGGACCGGTGAGAAAGCTTGACCTTTTTCAATCTGAACATCTAGTGTCGTTAAATACTTGTTGTCGGCTCTCTCACCCTGTTGTCTGAAAAAAGCCCCGTAATTTTGTGCAGCTGTGAAGATTTAGCTCAATGCAAATCTAAAAAAAAGACTCACAAATAAACCCTGAGATTCTCCGTCGAAATGATCAAAAATAAAAATGAATTTTTTATGACCAAGTCTAGCTCTACAGGTTACTGCGAATTACTTCTGCTTTTATCTAATGGGTCTCTCTCAGCAGAGTCGCCGACACGCTGCACTACAGAACGGCCCGGCAGCCCCGTTAGCGTGGGCTGGGAAACAAACCTAGATCAGCACACGGGCAAGTGGGTCAGCGATACACTCTGTCAGAGAGGTGGGCTGCTAGGGGGCTTTCCCCCAACCTCAGCATCCTTCTGGAGATGCTCAGATCGCTGGCGGTTAGGGCCATGTAGGCATTTGAATGGAGAGATGGGTGTGGGGGGGGATAGATAGATAGATAGAGGGGGTGTGTGGGGATAGATAGATAGATAGATAGATAGATAGATAGATAGATAGATAGATAGATAGATAGAGGGGGTGCATGGGGATAGATAGATCAAGGGGGTGGGTCAGCTCTGCTGTAGTTCGGGCTCTCGTTAGGACAGACGGGTCTGAGGACAGAGAGCCGACTGGAGGGACACGTGTGTCTGGGGGTCGATCGGGCAGACCCACACGCTGGGCTAAGACATCAGAACATGTTTCACAGCCACATTCCCTAGAGCCTGGTGCACACACGCCTGCAAGCGCACCCCCACACTCACGCACGTGCGCACCCCCCCCCACGCACACTCGTGCTTCCACTCACACACATCCACGCACACTCGTGCTCACTCACGGTCACACACACACTTCTGCTCACGCTCACGCACACGCACACTAGCTGTCAGGATCTAACAGCAGAGGGAGGAAATCAGTTTCCTGTTATGAAACACTCCTGCCCCGTGCCCCTGCCTGGCCCCCGGGCCACTCGCCCTCCCCCAGCCCGCAGGGCACTGCCAGCCCCCAGGGCCTGTGCTGATACCTTGGATGTTGAAGCCATTGTCGGGTCCGGCTCCCTCCTGCGTGGTGCAGGTGGCCCAGGCCAGCAGGGTGCAGAGGGCAGCGATGTGGCTCCAACGAGGCTCCATGGTCCGGAGCGCTGAGCCGTCTGGCCTGGCAGGGCTCCCTGGCCCCTGGCTGCAGGTTGTGGCTGCGCTCGGCGGGGCGGGCAGGCTGGGAGGGGACAGATAAGGGCTGGGCTGGGGCTGCTGCTAGGAGAGGCTGAGGAGCACGGCAGGGAGTTGGAGAGGAGCCAGGAGGGGTAGAGACACCCCCATGTCTCCACCAATGCCCCCTCCACTGCCTTGGGGAGCGGATCACTGCCCCATGGGATCCGGAGGGAGCAGCTCTCTGCCCCGTGGGATCCGGGGGGAACAGATCACTGCCCCATGGGATCCAGGGGGGAGCTGACCATTGTCCTGTGGGATCCGGGGGGAGCAGATCACTGCCCCGTGGGATCCAGGGGGTTCTGCCTGGTGGGAACCAGTGGGGGGCTGTGTGGATCACTGGCCAGTGGGCTCCAGAGGAGAGTGGATCCCCATCACACAGGATTCACTGGCCTATAGGATGCACAGCTGGGGAGTTGATCAGACGAGGCAGTGAATCCCCACCCCGTGGGCTCTAGCAGGGCCAATCCTGCGCTTTGCCGATCGAGGGTGCAGCAGGGGGATGGAGCGGGAGATGGCCCTCACCATGCCGCAAACAGGGACACTCAGGCTCCAGGTCGCAGGACCCGGACCAAACAGGGGGGTGAGGGGTGATGCACCCCAGACCCAGAGGGTGCTGGAAAGAGGGTGTTAAAGGGGGTTTAGACACCCCCCGCCTGCACTCCCCAACCGTCTGGCTGGAAGGAGGGCAGGTCCCTTCCCAGCAGCAGGAAGATAATCAAACCCTCCCAGGGGACGTTGGAACTGGGCAGCAGATAAACCGGGGCGTTGTGATGCCAGCACATTGGTATTGCTGGGTTTTGTGCATTGCAAGAGCCCGAGAGGCGCCAACCAAGATCAGGTCCCAATTGGGCCAGGTGCTGCCCAGACCCCGACCGAGCTCAGGGCCCCCGTCAGTCGCGCAGCCGGGAGGGGGAAGCGGGGGGAGCAGTGCCTTTTTAAATTTTTACTCACCCAGAGACGCTCCGGGTCTTCGGCAGGGGGGGTCTTCACGGGGTCCGGCTCGGCGGGGGCCTTCAGTCGCTCTGGGTCCTCGGCGGCATTTCAGCGGCAGGGGCCTTCAGGGCCACCGAGGACCCGGCGCGCCACCCGGTGAGTACAAGCAGGTGGCCCTGTTCGCTCCCCCTAGCTACGCCAGTGGCCCCCGTTGTGCCAGGCACTGCCCAGACCCACTGAGACAATCCTTGCCCCAAGCACTCCCGGTCTGAACTCACAAGCCAGACCAAAGTAGATTCATTATCCGCATTGTACGGGTGGGGAAACCGAGGCACAGAGCCGTGCCGTGCAGTCACCAGGGAGTCTGTGGCACAGCTGGGAATTGGACCCAGCTCATCCAGGTATTTGTAGCTTTCACTAACACCCCTGTCCCCGCTTTTTACTGTGAAAAACAAACTGTCCCACGTTCAATCAAAGCCGGGCCCCACACGCCGGCCCCCCGTGACGCAGGTGAGATCTGTCACAGCAAGAACATGGGGCGGGACAGGCTGAAACAAACACGGCGTGTTGGCCAGAGATAAGGCGCTGGAGTGGCGCCGGGCTGGACCGGGCTGTTTACACCAAGGCCCATGCGGGGGCGGTAACTGAGCGTCCCGCTCAACGCCCTCAGCCCCACCCCCAACACGTGCACAAGCGTGGCCATAAATCGAGGAATACACGCACGCCGCCCCGGACACACTGGTGCAGGCACGCCCCTGCACACACACGACTACACGGATGCACAAAGACATGTACGTTCCTGCACGCACCCCCCGCCCCCCCCCGAATACAGGCACGTCCCTGCATGCACACGTGACTACACACACACACACAAACATACACACGGAGCTCCTTGCATTCGAAGGTGAAAACATCAGCCACGGGGCACTTTGTCCAGCTTGGGGTTGGGTTCTATCCGCAGCTCAGGGAAGGGGGCGGGGGTGTCAGGACTCCTGGGTTCGAGCCCCAGCTCTGGGAGAGGCCTCGGGGGTTAGTGGTTGGGGGGAGGGGGATCAGGACTCCTGGGTTCGAGCCCCAGCTCTGGGAGAGGCCTCGGGGGTTAGTGGTTGAGGGGAGGGGGATCAGGACTCCTGGGTTCGAGCCCCAGCTCTGGGAGAGGCCTCGGGGGTTAGTGGTTGGGGGGGGGGGGATCAGGACTCCTGGGTTCGAGCCCCAGCTCTGGGAGAGGCCTCGGGGGTTAGTGGTTGGGGGGAGGGGGATCAGGACTCCTGGGTTCGAGCCCCAGCTCTGGGAGAGGCCTCGGGGGTTAGTGGTTGAGGGGAGGGGGATCAGGACTCCTGGGTTCGAGCCCCAGCTCTGGGAGAGGCCTCGGGGGTTAGTGGTTGGGGGGAGGGGGATCAGGACTCCTGGGTTCGAGCCCCAGCTCTGGGAGAGGCCTCGGGGGTTAGTGGTTGGGGGGAGGGGGATCAGGACTCCTGGGTTCGAGCCCCAGCTCTGGGAGCGGCCTCGGGGGCTAGTGGTTGGGGGGAGGGGGATCAGGACTCCTGGGTTCGAGCCCCAGCTCTGGGAGAGGCCTCGGGGGTTAGTGGTTGGGGGGAGGGGGATCAGGACTCCTGGGTTCGAGCCCCAGCTGTGGGAGAGGCCTCGGGGGTTAGTGGTTGGGGGCAGGAGGATCAGGACTCCTGGGTTCGAGCCCCAGCTCTGGGAGAGGCCTCGGGGGTTAGTGGTTGGGGGGAGGGGGATCAGGACTCCTGGGTTCGAGCCCCAGCTCTGGGAGAGGCCTCGGGGGCTAGTGGTTGGGGGGGAGGGGGATCAGGACTCCTGGGTTCGAGCCCCAGCTCTGGGAGAGGCCTCGGGGGCTAGTGGTTGGGGGGAGGGGGATCAGGACTCCTGGGTTCGAGCCCCAGCTCTGGGAGAGGCCTCGGGGGCTAGTGGTTGAGGGGAGGGGGATCAGGACTCCTGGGTTCGAGCCCCAGCTCTGGGAGAGGCCTCGGGGGCTAGTGGTTGGGGGGAGGGGGATCAGGACTCCTGAGTTCGAGCCCCAGCTCTGGGAGAGGCCTCGGGGGCTAGTGGTTGGAGGGAGGGGGATCAGGACTCCTGGGTTCGAGCCCCAGCTCTGGGAGAGGCCTCGGGGGCTAGTGGTTGGGGGGAGGGGGATCAGGACTCCTGGGTTCGAGCCCCAGCTCTGGGAGAGGCCTCGGGGGCTAGTGGTTGGAGGGAGGGGGATCAGGACTCCTGGGTTCGAGCCCCAGCTCTGGGAGAGGCCTCGGGGGCTAGTGGTTGGGGGGAGGGGGATCAGGACTCCTGGGTTCGAGCCCCAGCTCTGGGAGAGGCCTCGGGGGCTAGTGGTTGGGGGGAGGGGGATCAGGACTCCTGGGTTCGAGCCCCAGCTCTGGGAGAGGCCTCGGGGGCTAGTGGTTGAGGGGAGGGGGATCAGGACTCCTGGGTTCGAGCCCCAGCTCTGGGAGAGGCCTCGGGGGCTAGTGGTTGGGGGGAGGGGGATCAGGACTCCTGAGTTCGAGCCCCAGCTCTGGGAGAGGCCTCGGGGGCTAGTGGTTGAGGGGAGGGGGATCAGGACTCCTGGGTTCGAGCCCCAGCTCTGGGAGAGGCCTCGGGGGCTAGTGGTTGGGGGGAGGGGGATCAGGACTCCTGGGTTCGAGCCCCAGCTCTGGGAGAGGCCTCGGGGGCTAGTGGTTGAGGGGAGGGGGATCAGGACTCCTGGGTTCGAGCCCCAGCTCTGGGAGAGGCCTCGGGGGCTAGTGGTTGGGGGGAGGGGGATCAGGACTCCTGGGTTCGAGCCCCAGCTCTGGGAGAGGCCTCGGGGGCTAGTGGTTGAGGGGAGGGGGATCAGGACTCCTGGGTTCGAGCCCCAGCTCTGGGAGAGGCCTCGGGGGCTAGTGGTTGAGGGGAGGGGGATCAGGACTCCTGGGTTCGAGCCCCAGCTCTGGGAGAGGCCTCGGGGGCTAGTGGTTGAGGGGAGGGGGATCAGGACTCCTGGGTTCGAGCCCCAGCTCTGGGAGAGGCCTCGGGGGTTAGTGGTTGGGGGGAGGGGGATCAGGACTCCTGGGTTCGAGCCCCAGCTCTGGGAGAGGCCTCGGGGGCTAGTGGTTGGGGGGAGGGGGATCAGGACTCCTGGGTTCGAGCCCCAGCTCTGGGAGAGGCCTCGGGGGCTAGTGGTTGGGGGTGGGGGGGATGGGCGGGGGTCAGGGATACTCTGTGCTCAGGGAAGGTGCAGGCGATGTGGGGGGAAGGACCCATATCAGCCGTTCCCAGGACACTTCCCTCTCTCCCTGCTGCTTATCTCCCCCGCCCCACCCGGGATAATCACGCCCCCCCATGGGGGCTCCCGCCCGATTTCCCCCACTGGGGCCTGCCCGTTAACCCTTTCTGAGCTGGGACAGCAAGAAGAGACTGGGGGTCACCACAGGCTGACGGCCCCCCTCTTGTCACCACAGGGGTCACAGTGGGGTTGGGGGAGCCAGGATCACCAACACTGGGGGGGGATATTAGGGACCCCCCTTAACAGCGGGGGGGGGGAGAAATAAGGCTGGCTGGTTGCTAGGCAACTGCACGGATTGGGGGGCAGGAAACTAGTGGTGAGATGTGAAAGTGTTAAATCTGCTCTTGGCCCAGAGCAGGCACCTGGGGCTGGCTGGGGTGGACCCAGGGGCTCGTTTAAGGACCAGCTGGAGACCCCCAACAGCCAAGGGGAGCCCCCCGGACCCCTCATTCACACCCAGCAACCCAGCCCCGCCCCGGCACAAAGGGGGTTGTGACGAAGTGGGACTGTTCTCAATGTTTCCTCTGAATAGTGTGGGGGTGCCTCAGTTTCCCCTAGGCAGTTCTTAAGTATCTAGGGGGTGGAGTAAGGGTGTATGATCATTGCAGAGCCCTAGAGGGCAGGTGTGTGCAGGGGTCTGGACACAGAGAATGGCCGACACCCTGTTTCCTGGCAACTGATGGCCTGGGCCCTTCCCCCCCTGCAAGGTGAGAGCTGAAGGGTTGGAGAACAAAGGAATCAGGTGACCACCTGGCCCGGGAAAGGAACAAAGCCCAGAGGAGGAGGGGCTGGAGGGGGTTTCAGTTTGGGGCTGGCTGGGACATGGAGTGAAGTGCAGACGTGGTTGTCTGGCTCACTGCCCCCCAAAATGGACCCAGCTGAGGGGTCCCGTTCTCTGCACCTGCAAGCTCTGTTTTAGACCATGTTCCTGTAGTCTAATAAACCTTCTGTTTTACTGGCTGGCTGAGAGTCACGTCTGACTGCGAAGTTGGGGTGCAGGACCCTCTGGCTTCCCCAGGAGCCCCGCCTGAGCGGACTCGCTGGGGGGAAGCGCACGGAGGGGCAGAGGATGCTGAATGCTCCGAGGTCAGACCCAGGAAGGTGGAAGCCGGGTGAGCTGCGTGTCCTGAAGACAGGCTGCTCCCAGAAAGGCGACTGCCCCAGAGTCCTGACTGGCTTCATGGGGAGCAGTTCCAGAGCATCGCCCAGGGACTCCGTGACAGGGGTCAGGCCAGGAGTTAAGCGCTGCCCCTTGGCCGGACAAAGGACGGAGCCAGAATGGTGCCCACCGCAGCTCTGCTGGGTACACGCTCTGGCCTGGCCAGGCTGCCCCATGCACCCCCCAGTGCCACCCTGGGGCCCCACCGAGGCTGCGAGCGGGTGACTAATGAACCTGCTCTGGTGGGATCTGGCTCCTGGGGGGCACGCAGGGGGCTGGCCGGCCTCTGCTCCAGGGAGCCACCAAGAGAGAGAGGGTGGCTGGTGCCACAGGCCCAGTTCCAGAGTCACGTGGGGCCGGGGGTGCTGCCCCATAAGGGAGTCACCCCCAAACACCCAGCCTGGAGCAGCCCCTGTGGATCCAAGCCAGTGTTTAAAGGACAATGGACCCACAGGCGCGGCCGGGGTGTGATGGGCTCTGGGCCGGGAGAGGATCCCGGGGGGACGGGTCCCCACGGGAAGAAAGAGCCCCCGGCCCCAGTGGGCATTGAATAAACTGGGGGTCATGCACCCACGATTCATAGCTGATGGACCCGGCCCCATGCAGCCGGGCACCCCCCAGCGAGGGGCAGGGAGCCTGGCCTGGCACCAGGGAGGCACCATGGGCCCCAGATACCAACCTGGAGGAACCCACGGCATGGCCCTGCGCCAGCCAGCTGCAGAACCCATCTGCCCTCCACCTGATCTATCGTCCCTCCCCACAGGCACCCACCCACCCCCATGCCCTCCCCATCCCTTCCCACCCCTTGCCCCCTCAATCCATCCCTTCCCACCCATCCCCTTTCCCCCTCTATCCATCCCTTCCCCCCCCACCCGCCCCATGCCCCCTATCCATCCCTTCCCACCTCTCACCCTTCCCCTTGCCCCCCCTATCCATCCCTTCCCACCTCCCACCCTTCCCCTTGCCCCCCTCTATCCATCCCTTCCCATCTCTCACCTTTCCCCTTGCCCCCCTCTATCCATCCCTTCCCCCCCCCACCGGCCCCATGCCCCCTATCCATCCCTTCCCACCTCTCACCCTTCCCCTTGCCCCCCTCTATTCATCCCTACCCGCCCCATGCCCCCTCTATCCATCCCTTCCCACCTCCCACCCACCTGCCCCCATGCCCCTCTCTATCCGCTGCTGGCAGAGCTGGGGCAGGGCTGTGACGGGCAGGAAGCAGGGGGTGGCTGCCAGACCCTGGGGATCTCTCTGGGGCTCAGGCTCCCAGCCGGGGTCCGTTGCCCCCTCCCACCCCGGAGTCCTCCTTCCCCCCACAGTGGCCTGGGGGCGAGCGTCTCGCTGCCCTTGTGGCCCTGGGCACGCAGCTCCCAGCGTCAGCCGTAGCGAGGGGGACGTGGGACCCCAGGAGCCAACCCCTCCTCTGTCCCCATCCCCCCAAGGTCCAATCCTGATTCAGTTCCAGGCCCCAGCCTGAGGGTGGGGGGTGACTGAGGGCCCAATTCTGGAGCGGGGGGGGTGGTGGTACATCCACCAAGGGCCCGATCCTAGGCTGGGGGGGGGGTTGCGGACCCCCTGATCCTGGGGTTGCAAAGGGCTGAAGTGGGGACTCCCCACACCTACACACAAAGCTGCGGAGGGGAATGAGACCCCAACGCTCCCTCCCTGCCCCCTCCTGGCAGCCCCCCCACCCCTGCCCCCACCCACCCAGAGTGAGGTTCATCTCCCCAGCATTGTCACGGCAACCAGTGGGCGAGGCTGAAAAAGCAGCAGCACCCCCAACATGCGTCAGCCTAGAGCCCCACCAATCCCCCACCCAGGGCCCTCCAAGGTCCAGCTGGAGACTCCCAACAGCCAAGGGGAGCCCCCCGGACCCCTCATTCACACCCAGCAACCCAGCCCCGCCCCGGGACGGGGGATCAACCAGCTGCAAAAAATGAAGGGGCAATGGGGGGGGGAGGGAATTTCAATCTTCTGGGGCTGCTGGGAAAATCGCTTGCCCCCCATCTCCACCCCCTACTAACACCAGCTTGCCCCAGATACCCCCAGGGTGTGGGGCAGAACAGACCATCAGACCATGGTTTGCTCTACTCAGAGGGATTTATTGGAAGAAGGGCCCGCAGGGGCCGGAACATCCAGGATTCAGAGCCCCCCCTCGGCTGATTGCTAGGGAGCAGCGAGAGAGGGGAAGCCCCAGCACAGATCCCACCCCTTGGCGGGGACCTCTCCCAGGAGCGCTGGCCCCATCCAGGTCCCCGTGGATCGCCTGCCCCCCAAACCCCTCTTCCCAGGAGCAGGGCAGCTGGGGTGTGATGAAGTGGGACTGTTCTTAATGGTTCCTCTGAATAGTGTGGGGGTGCCTCAGTTTCCCCGATGCAGTTCTTAAGTATCTAGGGGGTGGGATAAGGGTGTATGATCATTGCAGAGCCCTAGAGGGCAGGTGTCTCTAGGGGTCTGGACACAGACAATGGCCAACAACACCCTGTTTCCTGGCCACTGATGGCCTGGGCCCTTCCCCCCTGCAAGGTGAGAGCTAAAGGGTTGGAGAACAAAGGGATCCGGTGACCTCCTGGCCCGGGAAAGGGACAAAGCCCAGAGGAGGAGGGGCTGGAGGGAGTTTTAGTTTGGGGCTGGCTGGGACATGGAGTGAAGGGCAGACGTGGTTGTCTGGCTCACTGCCCCCCCAAAGTGGACCCAGCTGAGGGGTCCTGTTCTCTGCACCTGCAAACTCTGTGTTAGACCATGTTCCTGTCGTCTAATAAACCTCTGTTTTACTGGCTGGCTGAGAGTCACGTCTGACTGCGGAGCTGGGGGGCAGGACCCTCTGGCTCCCCCAGGACCCCGCCTGGGCGGACTCGCTGTGGGAAGCGCACGGAGGGGCAGAGGAGGCTGAATGCTCCAGGGTCAGACCCAGGACGGTGGAAGCCGGGTGAGCTGTGTGTCCTGCAGACAGGCTGCTCCCAGAGAGGAGACTTCCCCAGAGTCCTGCCTGGCTTCAGAGGGAGCAGTTCCAGAGCATCGCCCGGGGACTTCGGGACACGGGGGAAGCCCGGCCCTCAGCACAGCCGATCCTCGCGTCTCCGGTGCCCCACGGCATGCTTGGCACTCCTGGCTGCTGGGCGGGACGGGGGGGCAGGCTGGGAGGTGCCCATACCCAGGGATTGACGGGGGGGGGAGTTGGGAGAGCCCAGCTGAGGGTTGTTTCCCTGTCACCCTTTCCCTGCTGGCATGGGGGGGGATAGTATAGATCCCCAGAGTCTTGGTGACCCCTATGGGTCAAGACAATGGGGGGCCCAGTGCACAGCAGCCTGGGGAGGGGCCAACAGGGGGCGCAGGGAGGAGCGGGATGTGCAGCCAGTCAGGGGGCGGGGGAGCTGGGGAACGAAGCAGGGGGCTCTGGGGGTGGAGATCAGGGGGGAGGCTGCCGGGGGGAGGTGCTAGGATGGGGGGGGCTGGGGGCAGGGAGTGAGGAGAGCAGGGAGCGTGGGGGGGTGGCCTGGCTGCGGGGTGCAGGGGGTAAAAGGGGCTCTAGGGGGGAGGGGAGTGGGGGCTCCGTGGTTAGGGCAGGGCTGTGGGGGAGGGGAGTGGGGGCTCTGTGGGCAGGGCTGGGTGGGGGCAGGCGGGGGCTGGGGGGGCCTTTCCGGCGCAGGACGAAGTTGAAGTCAGCGGCTGGATTCATGGCGTAGAAGGCGTTGGCCCCGTCGGGGATCAGCAGCTCTGGGGGGGGGGGGGCACAATGATACTGGAGACCCCCCCAGCTGGTCCCCTTCTCCAGGAACACCCCCTGCTCCCCCCCGCAAGGTCCCCCCACCTGGTCCTCTGCTCCAGCAATACCCCCTGCCCCTCCCCAACACCACCTTCCCCCCATGACCTCATCCTCCCCCCCCACGTGCTCCCCCCACCTGGTCCTCTTCTCCAGAAACACCCCCTGCCCCTCCCCCCACACCCAGCATGCTCTCCCCCCACCTGTGACACCTCCCCCCCCCCATGCTCCCCCCACCCCGCCCTCTGCTCCCCATCCCAGCCGTGCCCCCCTCACCTCGGCCGCCCCCCAGCAGCTGCAGGAGCTGGAAGTCTCCAGGCTGGGTCCCTTCCAGGCTGTGTTTCTGAAGGGCGCGCAGCACCACGGCTGGGGTCTTGTCCTGGCTGGTCAGCTGGGGGGCAGCGGGGGGCACAGGATCAGCGTGGGGGGCAGAGACAGGCACAGGGGGGGGTGGAGGACAGGCTGGGGGAGGGGGCGGCACATGCAGGGGTGGGGAGGAGGGCAGAGACGGAGTGGGGCCCAAAGGGGCGGGGCCAGGCCCCAGCCCCGCCCCCCGCCCAGAGGCAGGACCCCCAGCCCCCCCTCACCAGGATGCTCTTGTAGAGGTTGCCGTGGGCGTTCTCCATGCTGACCCGCACGATGCACGAGTCTGCCCCCTGCTGGTTGTAGAGGGGCGAGCAGGGGCGGCGGGCGAGGGGGGAGGACGGCTCCTCGGGGGGGCAGGTGCTCAATGGCAGCTCCAGCAGGCTCTGTGCCAGGGCGGGGGGAGAAACAGGAGCTGGTGAGCGAGCAGGGATAGAACCCAGGAGTCCAGGCTCCCAGCCCCGCCCTCCCCCCAACTCTAACCACTGCACCCCACTCCCCTCCCAGAGCTGGAGGGAGAACCCAGGAGTCCTGGCTCCCAATCCTCCCTCCCTCTGCTCTAACCCCGGGAGCCCAGCGGGCACTGGCCTTTGCACTGGGACAGCCCATCCCCAGCTACCCCCAGTCAGGTCTGAGCCACCCCAGCACACCCCCCCCCGGCACCCCACAGTACCTTGCAGAGGGCCCCCCCCATCTCTGGGGAGCAGGGGGCACTGGGCCCCTCATCGGCTTCGCAGCTGCTGCCGGTGCCCGAGGGCGAGATGCTGCCCTTTGCAGAGGGCAGCCGGGGGGGCAGGGCCTCGGACCCCAGCAGGAGCCTGAGGGGAGACGGGGGTAAATGAGCAAGAAAGGGGAGAAGGGCTGGGGTGGCTCGAAAGGAGAACCTGCCCCCCAGACATCTCCATCCCCCTCCAGATGCCAATTCCACCCCCACAGAGCAAGACGCCCCCCAACGCCCACCTCCTCCCCCGAATACCCACGGACCCCCTGCCCCTCCCCCATCCCTCGACTGAATGTGGGAATTCTGGTAATAGTTTTATGACCACGAGGTGTGCCTCAGTTTCCCCACTGATTCTGCCTGACCAGCCACTAGTGCCAAGGGACTGACCCCCAGAGGAGAGGGGAGTGAGGCCTGGCCAAGAGCTGCCCCCTGGCAACCCCAGGAGCCGAGCAGGATCAACCCCTCTGAACAGGGGATGCAGGATGCCGACGGGAACCCCCATGGGAAACTGAGGCAGGTTGGTCAGGGGCAGGAGGGTGACCTGGCCTCCTGCCCCTGCCATGCCAGGGCCATCCCCACACCTCCCGAGCAGGGCTCCTGGCTCCCCTCGCTCAGGTTGTGTGTGGGGGGGCTGCTCACAGGGAGACGGACGTTTGGACAGACAGACTCCCCCGCTGGGATCGTCCCGTCCGGCCTTTCGCGGAGCCCAGGCCAGCTCCGGAGCCGCCTGCCCAGCTGCAGCTTGGGGGCTCTTCGCGGCGGGGGCCCCGGGGGCCACTTACGAGCTGAAGCGTTTGCTGAGGCTGCGTTTCACGCGGGGTGAGCTGGGGCAGGAGTCGGCCGGGGGCTCGATGAGCCGGGAGACCCGGTAGCTGGGGGGGAGCGGATTGGGGGGGTTAGTGTGTGTCCGTTCTGCCCCCCCCGCTGCTACTGCGCTCCGTCCGCCATTGAGGGGGACACTCCAGGCAGCTCCCCAGGTGAAACCCGCTCCCCCGCCTCCCGCTGCCCCCGGCCTCCCTCCTACCCCCCCTCCCAGCCGCCTCCCCCACCTCCGTACTGCCCCCCAGCCTCCCTCATGCCCCCCCTCATGCCCCCTCCCTGGCCTCCCTGCTGCTCCCCGGCCTCCCTCCTGCCCCCCCTCACTGCCCCCTCCCTCGCCTCTGTACTGCCCCCACCCCGGCCTCCCTGCTGCCCCCCTGCCTCTCTCTGCCCCGCTCCCTGCTGGCCCCCGGCCTCTCTCCTGTCCCCCCCTGCCCGCCCCCTCCCCACCGGCCCCCTTCCGGCCCCTTCCCTGCCCGCCCACTGCACTCCCTGCTCCCTGACCACCTCCCTCCTATCCCCGCCCTGCTCCCCCCGAGACCCCCTCCCCACCCCCCGTGATACCTCTGCTCCTCGGAGAGCCGGGCGTGGCGCTGAAAGGTGGCCAGCACGGGGGGGTTGGGGCGCAGGGCGTAGCCCCCACACGACGCCTGCAGCTGCCGGATCCGCAGCAGGATCTCTGCCTCCTGGGCCCGGACATGGGGTGAGACTGGGTTCGGGGCTCCCTCTCTCCCAGCTCCCGTCCCCCACTCCGCCCAGCCTCCTGCCCCCCCCAGCTCCCGTCCCCCTCTCTGCCCAGCTTTCCGTCCCCCCCAGCTCCCGTCCCCCTCTCTGCCCAACTTTCCGTCCCCCCCAGCTCCCATCCCCCTCTCCACCCAGCCTCTCGCCCCCCCCAGCTCCCATCCCCCTCTCCACCCAGCCTCCTGCCCCCCCCAGCTCCCGTCCCCCCCTCCCCCCAGCCTCCTGCCCCCCCAGCTCCTGTTCCCTACTGCCCCCCAGCCATCCCCCCATCCCCCGTCCTCCTCAGCTCCCATCCGCACCATCTGCCCAGCCGTCCGTCCCCCCAGCTCCCGTCCCCCCCAGCCTCCTGTCCCCATCCCCCTCAGCCTCCCATCCATTCCCCGTGCCCCCCAGCACTCGTCCCGCCACTGCCAGCCTCTTGTCCTCCATCCCCCGCAGCTCCCATCCCCCCATCTGCCCAGCCTCCTGCCCCCCAGCTCCTGGCCCTCATCACCCCCCCAGCCTCTTATCCACCCCTCCAGCTTCCTGTCCCCCATCTCCCCCCCCAGCTCCCATCCCCTGACCCTCCCCACAGCCTCCCACCAATTAATCAGAGATCCCAGGAGTCCTGACTCCCAGCCCCCCGCCCCTTGACCACTAGACCCCACTCCCCTCTGCTCTCCCAGCCAGCTCCCCCGCCCCCCCCTCCACACACACTCACCTTCCTCCTCTTTTCAAAGTTGATGAGCCCACCCTGGGGGGGAATCAGAGAGAGAACATGAGGGCGGTTGGGGCCCCCCCAGTGTTCACATTAGGTGGTTACCCCAGGAAGGGGCTGGCACTCAAGGGGGCTGACGAACAATGGGGGGTGGGGTGAGATGAGATATGTCCCAGCCCCCGGGGGCAGGATGTGCAGAAGAGCCTCTGGGGGTCTCAGGGGAACAGGCAGCTCGGCCCAAGGGGCCCCTGAGCCGGGCGCTGCAGGGGGGGCACAGCAATGGTGTGAGCCTGGGGAGACCCCCCCCGACTCACCTCCAGGAAATCCGGCAGCGCCGTGTCCAGCATCACCAGATCCGTCAAGAAGGTGCCGAGGTACGGAACCGTGGCCGGGGGGGGCGCCTGGAGGGGGGAGGATCCGGGTCACCGGCTCTGCCAGCGCCCCTCACTCCCAACCCGCAGCCCCCTGCTAGCCCAGCCCTGGGCTCCCCTCCCCCAGCCCAGGGAGTCACTCGCTGAGTCGCTTTGCGGGCTCCGTCGGGGGCACCCCAGGCAGCGTCTCCCTGGGCAGGGGCCCAGCGGAAAGAAACCTTTGACGGGCGCCGCCGGTACACGGAGCAAAATCCCACTGCCGGGGGCACGGTGACCCCCACCCCGCCCCCTGCCCAGCTTCCTGCCCCCTGCAGCATGACATCCCCTGGCAAGCCCCCACCTTTCACCAACCCCCCCCTCCCGCAGCACAGCACCCCCTGCCGAGCCCCCTACCCTGCTCCCTGGGGCACAGCACCCCACAGCATGGCCCCCATGCCAGGTACCTGCAGCAGGATTTCCCGGCAGCTCAGGTGGTTCTTGTCATCGGAGAAGATCTGCGAGAGCTTCCGGAAGATGCCCATGGTGTCCCTGGGGGGAACCAAGGCAGAGCTCTCTCCATGCATGCACCCCCGATCCCCATCCCCATCGGCCCCGGCACCCCCGATCCCCGGCCCCACTGCCCCTGGTCCCCGGCCCATCAATCCCTGGCCCCATCGGCCCCGGCACCCCTGATCCCCGGCCCCATCAGCCCAGGCACCCCCAATCCTCAGCCCCCGATCCCTGCCCCCACCCACCCTGGCACCCCTGATCCCCACCCCCATCTGCCCCAGCACCCCTGATCCTCACCCCCAATCCCCACCCATCCCCGGCACCTCCAATCCTCAACCCCCAATCCCAGCACCCACCAATCCCTGGTCCCTGCATCGTCCTGACACTATCCCCACCCCAGCACCCCTAATCCTCTCACCCCCCCAATCCCTCGCCCACCCACTGAACCCCATCCTGGCAGCCTCCCCAGCACGCCCTGACCCCCGCCCATAGCACCCCCCAGGGTCACCAGGACCCTCTGGACCCCACTCCCCACCGTGAGCCCCAACCCAACAGCATTGGCTCTTGGGGACAAGTCCCACGCTCTGGAAGGCGGGACTTCCTGGATTAGCCCTGGCCATCCCAGCCGAGCCTTTGGGGGATGCTGGTCAGGTTGTATGGAGCCAAACTCACCCCCTAGCTCTCCCCACCAAGCCGAAGGGGGGCAGGCCGTGAGAGCTGGACAGCCCCCGCCCCCTGCGCTTGTCTCCCGCCCCCTCCATTCAGCCCCCCCCGGCTCTCACCGGCTGACGGCAGCCCAGGTCCTCTTGAGCCGGTGCACAGGGCTGGACTGCAGGGCGGAGATCACGGCTCGCAGGGAGGAGAAGTTACGCAGAAAGTAGCAGTGCTGGGCGGGAGGGGAGTCAGTGGGATCCAGCTGCCCCCCCCCCCCGATCTGCCCCCCAACCCCCCAGGCCGGCACACATCCAGTTACTACTGGACTCCCTCCCCCAGCCCCTGCTGGCCTGGATTCCCCCCAACCTCCCGTAAGTGCCCCTCACCTTCCCCCGCACCCCACTGGGCCCGCACGGCCCCGCCTCCAACCCCCACCCCCTCAGCTGTCCCCTGCCCCCACCTGGGCGATGGTGACCCACTTCTCCAGCAGCCAGGCTCTCTGCGGCGCACGGAGCTGCACGTCACCCAGCACCGAGGCGACGACGCAGCCGGTGACAGCGTTGAACTGGGCCACGGTGGCGCGGACGCTGGGCGCAGCCCCCTCGCCGGCCTTGCGGTCCCGCTGCGACCACACACAGCCCAGGCAGTGGAAGGGCCGCACCTGCATGAACAGCTCCTGGGGAGGGGGGAGAGGGAGCGGGGAAGGGCCCGTGCTCTGTCCTGGCTCCCAGCACCCCCCCTGCTCTAACCACTAGACCCCACTCCCCTCCCAGAGCTGGGGAGAGAACCCAGGAGTCCTGGTTCCCAGCCTCTCCCTGCTCTAAGCCCTAGACCCCACTCCCCTCCCAGAGCTGGGGAGAGAACCCAGGAGTCCTGGTTCCCAGCCTCTCCCTGCTCTAAGCCCTAGACCCCACTCCCCTCCCAGAGCTGGGGAGAGAACCCAGGAGTTCTGCCCCTCGGGGCCCCTGCTCTAACTCCTAGGCTATGCTCTCTTGGGAGCTCTGGCCCCCCTCCCCCAGCCCCCCACTTACTATGTCCATTAGCGTGAGCTGCTCGGCCACCTCCTCCACACTGAACGACAGGAGATCAGGGGGCTCCCTGCAGCCCTCTGGCCCCCCTTTGCCCCCCAGCGCCAGCGGACCAGCCCCAGGGGATTCACAGCCTGCAGGGGAGACAGCACCGGGCATCAGACCAGCCGGCTGCACAGGGGCCTGCAAGGGGGACAGACACTCAGGGGTCCCAGCCAAGGGATGAGTGGAGGAGGGGATAAGATGGACAGACAGACGAGGGGCTGCAGCCAGGGGACAGGTGGTGGTGGAGGAAGAGCCATGAGGGGGACAGGTGCTGGGGGGTTGTAACCAGGGGACAGGCAGAGGTGGGGGTTGTAACCAGGGGACAGCTGGAGGAGGGAGTAACAGGGGCAGGCAGAGGTGTGGGGGAGTGGGAACAGGTGGAGTCAGGGGACAGGCAGAGGCAACAGGGGCAGGGGACAGGCCAAGGCAGGGGTTGTAGCCAGGGAGTGACAGGCGGAGGCAGGGACTGTAGCCAGGGAACAGGTGGAGGCATGGGACAGGCAGAAGCGGGGTTGTAACCAGGGGACAGCTGGAAGTGGGAGTAACAGGGGCAGGCAGAGTTGAGGGTAGTGAGAACACGTGGAGGCAGGGGACAGGCGGAAGTGGGGGTTGTAGCCGGGGGCAGGTGGAGGCAGAGGACAAGCCGAGGCGGGGGTTGTAGCCAGGGGACAGGCAGAGGCAGGGGACAGGCAGAGTCGGGGGTTGTAGTCAGGGGGTGACAGGCGGAGGTAGGGACTGTAGCGAGGGAACAGGTGGAGGCACGGGACAGGCAGAGGTGGGGTTGTAGCCAGGTTCAGGCCGAGGCGGGGGTTATAGCCAGGGGACAGGCGGAGGCCGAGGACAGGCAGAGGCGGGGGTTGTAGCCAGGGGACAGGCGGAGTCGGGGGTTGTAGCCAGGGGTTGGGGGGGACAGGCAGAGGCAGGGCTTGTAGTCTGGAGTCTCTTACCCTCAGGCTCCACCTGTTCATCTCCTGGCTCCTCCTGAAAGCCCTGCAGTAGCCCTTCGGCCCGCGCACACCCCTCCGAGCCCGGGGCTGCCTGGCGCAGATAGCCATGGAGCTGGCGCAGGCTGGGGTGCTGGGGGGGCTCCCGGAAATCCTCGGGGTGATCACGCAGCCACAGCTCCAGCACCTGCAGCACAGACCTGGGGGGAAGGGGGGGGGACAGTCCTGACAAGAGGAGGCCCCTCCCCTCTGGATCTGGGGGCATCCCTGTAACCCCAGGAGCTGGTGTGAGACCCCCCAACCCAAAGCAGCCCCCTTCCCTGGCCCGGGTGGGTGAGGGCCCCCACCACGAGGACCAGACTACAGGGTTCTCGCCTCCCAGCATGCCCAGAGACCAGCCCCCAGGGCTCACCTGTCAGGGTGGGGGGATCCTAGTGCTCCCATCAGGGATGGGGGAATCCCAGCACACGTACCCCGAGGCTTACCTGTCAGGGGTGGGGGGAGCCGAGTGATCACCTGTCAGGGTGAGGGGATCCCAGCGCCACCCCGGGCTCACCTGTCGGGGTCAGGGGATCCCAGCACACACACCCCCAGCTCACCTGTCGGGGTCGGGGGATCCCAGCACCGCCCCGGGCTCACCTGTCGGGGTGGGGGGATCCCAGCACCCCCTGGGCTCACCTGTTGGGGTGGGGGGATCCCAGTGCTGTCCCAGGCTCACCTGTCAGGGTGGGGGGATCCCAGCACACACACCCCCAGCTCACCTGTCAGGGTGGGGGATCCCAGCAGCCTCCCCGGGCTCACCTGTCGGGGTGGGGGGATCCCAGCACACACACCCGCAGCTCACCTGTCGGGGCCCAATGGCAGCAGCAGCTCCAGCACGCAGCCGGGAGTGGCGAAGGCGCGGTAGGTGGCCAGGAAGCTGGGGAGGTAGCCAGGGTCGCCCTCTGCGTGGGCAGAGACCAGGCCTCTCACCAGCTGGGGCAAGGTCCCGGCACGCAGCCGGCGCAGCTTGCAGGTGCGGTACTGGACGAAGGGGCAGGGGGGGCCAACTCCAGCCTGCGGGGGGGGGGGCAGGGAGAGAGGGATGGGCAGAGAGAGGGATGGATGGAGTGTGAGAAATAGATTGGATGGAGTGAGAGGGAGGAGTGAAGGAGATAGATAGATAGATAGATAGATAGATAGATAGATAGATAGATAGATAGAAGGGGTGCATGGGGATGGATGGATGGATAGATAGATAGATAGATGGGGTGAGGGGATAGATAGATGGGGTAGGAGGGATAGATAGACAGATAGAAGGGGTGCATGGGGATAGATAGATAGATAGATAGATAGATAGAAGGGGTGCATGGGGATAGATAGATAGATAGATAGAGGGGGTGGGGGGATAGACAATTATGGAGAGATCGAGACAGAGGGAATAGAAGGAATAATTACATCACCCCAGCCTCTTTCCCTCCTTCAGGATCCCAAAAGGCTCCACTGGCCTGAGATGCAGCCCCCTCTTGGGTGGGATGTGGGCGGCTGTTTATACAGGGACCCCGCACTCGGCGCTGAGATGCAGCCGCCTCTGGGGTGGAGCACAGGGGCTGTTTATACAGGGAACCCTCGCTTGGCGCTGAGATGCAGCCCCCTCTTGGGTGGGATGTGGGGGGCTGTTTATACAGGGACCCTGCACCCGGCGCTGAGATGCAGCCGCCTCTGGGGTGGAGCACAGGGGCTGGTTATAACCAAGCTGCGCACTCGCTCCCAGAGAAAATGTAGGCGAGAAAATGACCCAGTGTCATGGCCCAGCGCCCCCTGCTGGGCCTCCCGCCCCCTGCAGCACCAGGGTTAAGCTCTGGGATCCCCCATGCAGGTGCTGACTGGGTCCAGCCCCACTTGGCATAGGCGAGCTGACAGGCCCCTGGCAGAGCCCCCCCTACCAGCAGGCAGGGTCCCCCGTTGGCCGCAGGGTCCGCCCTCACCCGCTGCAGGGTGATGCTGTAGATGGCCCCGTCTTCCACCTCTTCACCCCACTGCTGGAGGGGCTCCTGCAGGGGAGAATAGACCAGGCCGTGGGCCCAGCCAGCCCCCGACACACACAGAGATGGGAGATGTGGCTGAGGTGCTGGGAATCAGGACACCTGGGTTCTGCCCCAGTTCTGGGAGGACAGTGGGATCTAGTGGTTAGAGCAGAGTGGGGGGGCTCAGAGCCAGGACTCCTGGATTCTCTCCCCGGCTCTGCCACAGATGTGATATGTGATCCTGGGTGAATCCCTTTCACCTCTTGGTGCCTCAGTTTCCCCCACATATGATACCACCTATCAAAGGAGCCCTGTCCCTGAAACCTGGGGATGCAAATGCAACTTCTAAAGGTTTCCCCTGGGGGGGGGTAGGATTAAGGGGTCCCCTCACCCTACCCCCAGTACAGCCATCAGGCTCGGGTGCTGGCAGCTCTGGGGCTGAAGGACCGTGGTGCAGTATCGCTCCCTGCCTGCAGGCAGCCCCCGGCACTCCACCTGACCCCCCAGCACCCCCTACAGGGGGTGCTGAATCCACATCCCTACGGGACAGATGGAGAAACTGAGGCACAACGCAGCTTTGGAATAGACTAAACTCCGGAGTCTGGACTCCCAGACCCCTGCTGAAGGGGGGAGGAGCAGGGGCCACCCATTGTACAACCCCCCACCCCGCACTGGAGGGGGGGGAGAAGTGGGAGTGGCACGAGGGGGGCAGAGTGCTCTGGGGCTCCGGCTGCCCTGAACAACCCCCATCCGCCCCCCCTCATTTCCACCCGCGGCTCCAGGAGCCAGAGTGGAGCCGCCCAACCGGTCCAGCAAGGTCAGCCTCCCCCCGCGCCACAAGGGGCCCTGCTGCCCCTGCCCCCCTCCCTCCGCCCTGCCCCCCACCCCAGCTGGTTGGGGGGCTGCCATCCCAGTGGGCGCAAGTCGCGTTCTCCCCCCTCAGCTCGGGGAGGTGGGGCTGGTGTCCGGCACCCTGATCCCCGTGGGACGCGGCCACCTGGGAGGGGGGTGAGGTCTCCAGTCCCCCCGAGCCGCCCGCCCCCCATGTCCGTTCGGTGCCCCGCGTTCGCAGGGAGCTGGGGGGGTCTCAGCCCAGGCCCTAGCAGGGCAGGCGCCCCCCGGGCACCCAGCGCCCCTTACCCCCTCCGGGCAGCCATGTGCCCCCCTTCCCACCGGCCCCTGGGTACCTAACGCCCCCCGGGCACCCAACGGCCCCCCTTCCCACCACCCCCGGGGCACCCAGCGCCTCTTACCCCTCCCGGGCACCAAGCGCCCCCTTCCTACCCCCCCCCCCGGGCACCCAGCGCCTCCCGCTCAGTCGAGGGACCGACCCCCAGGGCTGATGTCTCTGGCCTGTGCTGGGCGGGGGGTTCGAGTCCCCGGCGCGGCGTTACCATGGGGCGCTCCAGGGCCCGATCGCGGCGTCCGCCCTTGACTCGGCGGCGCCGGGAAGGTCTCTCGGCTGCAGCCCCGGGCGGGAGGGGCTGGGCCACGGAGGGAGGGGGGGTAGCGCAGCCTGGGCACAAGGGGCCCCTCCCCCAAACCAAGGGGGGCGGGAGAGCGACGCAGGGAGCGCCTGGGACATAGAGTCCCGGCCCCTGAGACCCAACCACCCCCGTGGGGGAGACGGGGGGCTTGGAAGCGGTGCTGTGGGAGTTGCCCCGCCTCTCGCTGCAGCCCCCCAGGGGCTGTGGGGTGCCCAGTGCAGGCTCAGCGCCCTGGAGCGAGAGGGGGGCCAGGAGTGGGGCAGCCAGGGGGACCTGAGAGCTGGGGCCGGCCCAGCCAGGAAGGAGGACAGGGTTAGGGTAAAGTCTAGTAGCTGGAGCGGGGTGGGAGGGGAGCCAGGACTCCTGGGTTCTCTCCCTGGTTGCAGCAGGGGCTGGGGCAGGACACGGGCAGGTCCCCACCCCAGCAGAACTCTCTGGTGCACCTGAAACGCCACTGGCCCCGTCTCTCCACCCCCTCCGACTCCAGGCAGGGGGAGCCGGGTGGGCAGCAGGGGGCTGTGGGTTGGGACTGAGGGGCACCGGCGGGGCTGTGGGGCAGGGGAATGGGCCCCAGGGGGCGGGGTAGGAGGGGGCTGTGGGTTGGGACTGAGGGGCACCGGCGGGGCTGTGGGGCAGGGGAATGGGCCCCAGGGGGCGGGGTAGGAGGGGGCTGTGGGTTGGGACTGAGGGGCACCGGCGGGGCTGTGGGGCAGGGGAATGGGCCCCAGGGGGCGGGGTAGGAGGGGGCTGTGGGTTGGGACTGAGGGGCACCGGCGGGGCTGTAACGTCGGGGGGGGGGGTCCAGAGTTGCGATTGACACTGGACAGTTAGGGGGAGCGGCTGAGTTTCTGGTGTTTCAGTGTCCCGGGAGCAGGTGCCCCCCAGGGGTCACAGCTCTGGCAATCCGGGCTGGGGGGCAGGAAAGTTGCCAGGGCCGAGGTGTGGCAGGAGGGGGCCGTGTCCCCGTGGGCCCCGCCCCCCAGTGCCGCTCACTGCCCAGGGGGGAGCCACTCCCGTGGGCCACTGGCACAGCTGATCCCCCTCGCCAGCCTCTCCTGAGGGGCACTGGGATGATTTTGGGGTACGGCTGCTGGAGGGGGACGTCCCATTCCAGCCTGGCTTCCCCTCTCTGTCTGGGGCAGCCCCTGTTTGGCACCCCTTGCTGGAGAGCCCTCGCCGCCCTCTGTGCCCCCAACAGCGCTGCACCGGGGTCGGTATCATGCTGGGCATAGGACAATCCCTGCCCCCCGGCAGCTGGAGGACGCAGCCTTGGCAACGGCCCCGCTCCCAGGGCCACTCGCCCAGCAGCACGGAGCGGGTGGCAGATCCGCCTCCAAGAGGAGCGGTTAGAAGCCCCCCTTTCTGATGAGGGGAAACTGAGGCACAAGATTGCAAAGGGTGTCGGCGGTGGCTGAGTGGGGTTTGGCAGCTAGGAAGGCTGGCTCTCTGGGATCAGAGTCTGGGGCCAGGATGTGGGGGGACGGAGATTCTGGCTTCTGGGGCTGCAGTGAGGCAGAGCCCAGTGGGGATCAAATCTTTGCCACTCGCGCCCCCCCACCCACCCCCGGTCCATGCAGGGGCTGCAGCCAAGGGAGGGGGGCTCTTGGTTTCTGCAGCCAGCCCCAGGGCAGCACTAGGGGGCGCTGTGCTGCAGGGAGCAGGGCAGGGGCTCAGCAGGGGATGCCCTCCCTCCCTGCAGTCAGCACTGGCCCCAGGGGGGCGTTAGGGGGCGCTGTGCTGTGGGGGGGCTCGGCAGGGGGCGCTCTCCCCCCGCAGTCAGCACTGGCCCCAGGGGGCGATAGGGGGCGCTGTGCTGTGGGGGGGCTCGGCAGGGGGCGCTCTCCCCCCGCAGTCAGCACTGGCCCCAGGGGGGCGTTAGGGGGCGCTGTGCTGTGGGGGGGGCTCGGCAGGGGGCGCTCTCCCCCCGCAGTCAGCACTGGCCCCAGGGGGGCGTTAGGGGGCGCTGTGCTGTGGGGGGGCTCGGCAGGGGGCGCTCTCCCCCCGCAGTCAGCACTGGCCCCAGGGGGGCGATAGGGGGCGCTGTGCTGTGGGGGGGCTCGGCAGGGGGCGCTCTCCCCCCGCAGTCAGCACTGGCCCCAGGGCGGCGTTAGGGGGCGCTCTCCCCCCGCAGTAAGCTCTGGCCCCAGGGCGGCGTTAGGGGGCGCTGTGCTGTGGGGGGGCTCGGCAGGGGGCGCTCTCCCCCCGCAGTCAGCACTGGCCCCAGGGGGGCGATAGGGGGCGCTGTGCTGTGGGGGGGCTCGGCAGGGGGCGCTCTCCCCCCGCAGTCAGCACTGGCCCCAGAGCGGCGTTAGGGGGTGCTAGTCATGCTAATCGCCCCGTGCCCCATGCTGCCCCCGGGCCTCGCGGGGGAGGGGATGTCCATCACACTGCACCAAACCAGGGGCTGCTCCGCCCGAGTGGCTTTATTGAATCACACACTGCACACGGGGGGTCATCGGGGGGGATGCTTGGGGGTCCCAGTGCAGAGGGGGGAAGCCGCGAGAGGCAGCAGGGAGCCCGAGAGGCCCAGGCTGCGATTCACCTTCTGCCTGCGGGTGGGGGGAGCAGGAGAGGGGGTCGGGGCAGGAGGAGGGGGCAGGGGGCTGTTTTCCCCCCTAAGGTGGGGAAGGGGAGGGGCCCAGCCCTAGGGAGCCCCGCTTGCTCCCCGGCCTGAGGGGTCGCCCTGGGGCAGCTCCCCATCCTCCACGACTGACTTGGGCCCCTGGCCAGGCCCAGGGGCAGCCCTGACCTTCACCCTGCCCCCCCCGCCAAGGGCAGGAGCTACGTGGGGCTGGGGCTGCTGCCCCACTAACCCTGGACCCCCGACCCCCGGCCCTAGAGGCCACCATGGGGGGTTGCTGGGATCAGGGGCGGGCTGGCAGGGCCTAGGGTCTTTGAGGGGGCGGCTCACAGGCAAGGGCCTGGACTGGAGCTTGCTATGCCTTTAATACCCTCGCAATGGCCCTGCGGGGGGGGGACTGAGCTCCGAGCCCCCCCCGGCTGGCTACAGCTTCCCCTCCTTCTTCTTGGGGCGGTTGCGGCGCTTGGTCTTGGCTTCAATGATCTGCTGGGACTGGCGCTTGAGGGCGGCCCGCGTCACCACGTCGCCCTCGTCCCCGCTGTCTTCCTCGTCTGGGGGCAGAGACGGGGGGCGCGGGCTGGTGGGGGGGGCAGAGCAACCGCTGCCCCCCCACACCCTGCGCTGCCAGCAGGCCTTGCCCCCCACCCCACCAGCTCCCCTCACCCCCACAGTACCACCCCAATTCTCTCCATAGCCCCACTCCCAGCCCCCCCGCTCCACCTCACCCCCCCCAGCCCACATCTCACCCCCTGCCACGCGCACCTTTGCCTCTTCCAATCTGGGGGGACCCCCCCCACACACTCACCATAGTACATGTCCTGCTTCTGGGCGACAGGCAGCTTCACCCGGACGTTGGCGCTGGGCAGGCGCCCCTCCAGGTTAGCGTGGAACTGCGAGAGAGGGCAGCGTTAGAGCGGCCGGGGGGCGCCTGGCCCAGTCCCGGGGATGGGGGACGGGGAGGCTGGAGGGGCTGTCAGGGAGGGGGTGAAAAGGGGAGCCCTGCCCCGAGCCCACCTCCTCCTCTGCGATTTTCTGCAGCAGCTCCCTCTGGTCCTGGTCGCCCAGCTCGGCCAGCACCTTGAGCAGCTTCTCCTCTGTCTCCGCCAGCAGCTCCAGCACGTAGTCGCCGGCGACCTCGTCCGGCGGGGCCTCAGCAAAGCGCCCGTTCTTCTGGGGGGATAACGGTGTCCACCGCATGGGGGAAACTGAGGCACGACTGTGGGCGGGGACTCGCCGTAGGTCAGTGTCAGAGCTGGGGATAGGACCCAGGAGTCCTGACCCCCGATCCCAGCAGCGTTCATGCCAGCCTGCGACTCACCAACCCCCTCCCTTGTGTTTAGCCCAGGGCGTGGCCAAGGGGCCCCCTGGTGGCGACACCGGCCACTGCAGGGCAAGTACAAACTGCAGGGTCCGTCTGTGTCCGTCAGCCCCTTCCTACCCCCAGCCTGGCCTGGCCCCGGCAGCCTGCAGGGGGTGCTGCGCCAGGGGGCTGCCCTCTTGTCGCTCACCAGCCGGATGTGCTGAACCTTTCTGGCCAGGTGCTCCACGCCCGCCTTGGCCACCAGCAGCACCCGCGTCACCTTGTCCAGCTGCCCCTTGGCCACGTCGCGCTGCGTCTCCTCCTGGCGCAGGTGAGTTCGCAGCTCCTCCAGCAGGCGCTGGGCCCTGGGCAGGGGGCAGGGTGGGCATCAGCGCTGTGGGCACTGCCTACCCCGGGGCGGGGCAGGGACAGAGAACTCCTGCCCTTAGCTCCAGCCAACACAGGGGGAGCTCTTGCTCCCAGCCCCTCCCCCCCCGCTCTAACCACTGGCTCCCACTCCCCACTCAGAGCTGGGGACAGAACCCAGGAGTCCTGCCACCCAGCACCCCCACTCTCGCTCTAACCACAAGCCCCCACTCCCTGCCGAGAGCTGGGGACAGAACCCAGGAGTCCTGTCACCCAGAACCCCCACCCCCACTCTACCCACTGGCCCCCACTCCCCACCCTTACACAAGAGCCGCGCCCCCCCCCCCACGTACTGAAGGGCTCTGGGGCCTCCTGCCTCTACACACCAGCAGGGGTGGGGGGGTTTGGCAGCTCACCCCGTCATCCGGGCCTCCCCCGAGTAGGTGAGGGCCTGCAGCTCGGCCTCCAGCGCCTCCTTCTCCTCCCGCAGCTGTACCAGGGCCTCCTCGTTCTGCGTCGTCAGCTGCTCTAGCTGCTGGAAGGTCTCTCCTTGGGCCAGGAACCGTTTCACCACCTCCTGCCGGGGGTGCGGGGTGTTAGAGCCCCCCAGGGCCATGGCCAGGCCCCTTACACCCCTCTCTGCCAAAACGCAGCCACCTCCGGGGAGGGTGGAAGTGGGCAGGGGGGCTGGGAGGCAGGACTCCTGGGTTCTCTCCTCCAGCTCTGGGCGGGGAGTGGAGGCTAGTGGTTACTGCAGATGGGGGGGCTGGGAGGCAGGACTCCTGGGTTCTCTCCTCCAGCGGGGTGGAGCGGGGAGGGCACTGCCCATGCTGCGTTGTCCCACCAGCGTTCCAAACCCCCCAAGAGAATCAGTGTGTGGGGAGAGACGAGGGCAGCCCGGTGCCCAGCTGGCAGGGACAGCCAGAGGCCTGGCACCCATGGCCACCCAACTGCTCGCTGTCCCAGGCAGGGGGCCGGCACCCGCGGCTCTTCCCGCTCCGGCTCTGGCCGGGGAAGCCGATAACCAAGATAGCTTGGCTGTCAGCCCGCCGTCGCCATGGCAGTGGCTCCGGGTGAGTGGCGTGGGGCGGGCGTGAAGGAGACCAGCCGGCTGGCACCGACCTGCTTCCCAAGGACCTTGGGAGGTGGCACGTCCCCTCCTCCCTGAGACAGGTAGCTGGGGGGTGGGGCCCCGCTGGCCACAACTCTCCTGGGTTGGGGGGTGATTTCTGAGTGGGGGCACCCCCACGCGCTGCCGGGGGGAGTTGGCGGGTGACTGGCGGAGGTCGAATGATGGGCAGGTCGTTTGGCTGCCATGCGATGGCGACGAGGGGCCATGAGCGACTCGTGGGGGTCTGGGCTGGGGAGAGGTCATGGGACTGGCCAGAGGGCACCCCCTCGCTACCCCTGGATCTACCCCAGCCTCGGGACCAAGACCTATGCCATGGGGGGGCGGGCTGAGGGAGGGGGAGAGGTTAGAGCCAGGACTCCTGGGTTCTGTTCATGGCTCAGGGAGGCAGCGGAGTCTAACGGTTAGAGCAGGACTCCTGGGATGTATCCTTGGCCCTGAGAGGGGAGCGTACCCTAGTGGTTAGAGCCCGAGGTGGTTTCAGCTGGGCAGTGCTGGGGACCTGGGGGCGGTGCCGGGGGCAGAGCCCTCCTCAGCCTCTCACCCTGGAGTTGGTGACCCCGGTGGCCATTTTGATCTTCTCGAAGGTCTCCTCCACCGCCACTGTGCCCAGCAGCTGTCTGGCGCGGAGGATGGTGCCCTTGTTGCGCTGGGCGTTGTTCAGCAGCTCCTCCGTCTGCAGGGGCAGGCGCTCCCGCAGGGCCTGGGGAGAGACGCGGCGCTCAGAGCCCCCCCGCCCGGCGCGTTCGCCACCCGCAGCCAGGCCTGGGCCAGGTCGCTGCCCCCACCAGGGCCTGGGCTCAAATCCCGCCAGGGGCTGCAGCCGCTTGGCCAGTCTGTGTGAAATAAGCAGGGGTGCAGAGGGGCAGACACCCTGCCCTCCACCGGCTGTGTGTGGGGAATGCTGACCGCGCTCCCCCTGCCCCCTATTGGCCACGTGAGGATGGAGCATGCTGACTGCGCTCCTGCCCTCTCCGCCATGTGGGGGGGGGTGTGGCATGCCGGCTGTGTGGGGGGGACCGCACTCCCTCTGCCCCACCTGGGGAGTGGAAGTCCCAATTGCTGGCAGCGGTGCCATTAGGCCTGGATGGGTGCAGGGATAGCTCAGTGGTTTGAGCACTGGCCTGCTAAACCCAGGGTTGTGAGTTCAATCCTTGAGGGGGTCATTTAGGGATCTGGGGCAAAAATTGGGGATTGGTCCTGCTTTGAGCAGGGAGTTGGACTAGATGACCTCCTGAGGTCCCTTCCAACCCTGATATTCTATGGTCTCACGTAAACCCCTATGGGTGGCCCTGGATCCAAGGTAGATGACATTTCCCCTCATCCTCCACTGCCCACAGCTGAGCAGACACCGGGGGAGGGGGAGATAAGCCCCAAGGGTGGAGGGCCGGCATGATGCACCGCTTCAGCGCTATGGTGGAAGCGGAGTGGGGACTAGTGGTGAGAGCAGGGGCTGGGAGCCAGGACTCCTGGGTTCTCTCCCAGCTCTGGGAGGCGAGTGGGGCTAACAGTTATGAGCTGGGGTTGCTCAGCTGGAGAGCTGCTGCTGTCCAGGGTGGGTGCCGCGTACACCCTCCCCCCCGCCCCAGCCTTACCCGTCTCTCCGCCCGCTCATTCTGTGCCCTCCTCTCCTCCACCTGCTTCTTCAGCTCCGACAGCTTCAGGTCCCGCGTGTACCTCTCCCGGTAGATGCTGTCTTCTTGGAGCTGGAGCTGTTCCTGCACGGGGGGCAGTTAACACTGGGTCAGCCCCCAGAGGAAAAGCCCGGGTGCGGGGCTGTGACGAAGTGGGACTGTTCTTAATGTTTCCTCTGAATAGTGTGGGGGTGCCTCAGTTTCCCCTATGCAGTTCTTAAGTATCTAGGGGGTGGAGTAAGGGTGTATGATCATTGCAGAGCCCTAGAGGGCAGGTGTGTGCAGGAGTCTGGACACAGAGAATGGCCGACACCCTGTTTCCTGGCAACTGATGGCCTGGGCCCTTCCCCCCCTGCAAGGTGAGAGCTGAAGGGTTGGAGAACAAAGGAATCAGGTGACCACCTGGCCCGGGAAAGGAACAAAGCCCAGAGGAGGAGGGGCTGGAGGGGGTTTCAGTTTGGGGCTGGCTGGGACATGGAGTGAAGTGCAGACGTGGTTGTCTGGCTCACTGCCCCCCAAAATGGACCCAGCTGAGGGGTCCCGTTCTCTGCACCTGCAAGCTCTGTGTTAGACCATGTTCCTGTCGTCTAATAAACCTTCTGTTTTACTGGCTGGCTGAGAGTCACGTCTGACTGCGAAGTTGGGGTGCAGGACCCTCTGGCTTCCCCAGGAGCCCCGCCTGAGCGGACTCGCTGTGGGAAGCGCACGGAGGGGCAGAGGATGCTGAATGCTCCGAGGTCAGACCCAGGAAGGTGGAAGCTGTGTGAGCTGCGTGTCCTGAAGACAGGCTGCTCACAGAAAGGCGACTGCCCCAGAGTCCTGACTGGCTTCATGGGGAGCAGTTCCAGAGCATCGCCCAGGGACTCCGTGACAGGGGCAAAGGTCAGTCCAGCAGACACTGCTGGTCACAAGCCCCCGGGTCTGAGCTGGGATGGAGCGGGTGGGTACCGGCCAGGACGGGCCCCCGGGTCTGAGCTGGGATGGAGCGGGTGGGTACCGGCCAGGACGGGCCCCCGGGTCTGAGCTGGGATGGAGCGGGTGGGTACCGGCCAGGACGGGCCCCCGGGTCTGAGCTGGGATGGAGCGGGTGGGTACCGGCCAGGACGGGCCCCCGGGTCTGAGCTGGGATGGAGCGGGTGGGTGGGTACTGTCTCAGATGGGCCCATGGGTCTGACCTGGGATGTGGAGGGTACTGGGCTGACCCACTGGCCTGAACTGCTGCAGGATGGAGGAATACCCACCTCGATGCACCAGGGTCCTGATTCGCCCTGGTGGCCCCCATCTCACTGGGTGCTGCACTGAGCCTGCGTTTCCCCTAACCCCTGGTGGCCCCCCAATTCTCCATCCCCTCACAACTCCCCACCCAGACCCTGGTGCCCCCCTGTCCCCTGCCCAGACCCTGGTGCCCCCCATCTCCTACCCACACCCTTGTGCCCCCGTCCATACCCTGGTGGTATCCCGCGTGGCCTGTGCATCCGTGTTCATCGCTTGCAGGCCATGGAGCTCTTGGTGTAGCCTTAGGATCTCAGCTTCCAGCACGTCCAGCTGGGTCTGCGCCGTCAAGCTCTGCTCCTGGGGAGCAACAGTGTCAGCTCCCCACCCCGCTGTGCTCCCGAGGGCGGGGACGTGCCCGGCTCGGAGCCACCCCCAGGGCGCCTGGAGCCAACCCTGCGGGTCTCCGGGGGGACCTCGGCGGGGATCCCACCACTCTGGATCCATGAGCTGGAGGTGGCTGGGAGCGGAGGGCCAGGCCCTGACCCCGGAAATTTCTCTGTCCAGTACACACACGGCGGCCCTCACCTGCATGTGAGCTTTGAGCTGGCGGTACAGGCCGGTGACATGCTCTGCCTCCTCCACCTTCAGCCGGGCTTTCTCCAGCTGGTTCTCCAGCCTGCGCAGGGTCTGGGCGGGGAGACGAATGCCACCGAATGAGCCGCCCGCACACAGCGGGCCACTGATCCCCATGGGAGCCAGGCCCAGGGACTCCCCGGCTTTGAATCAGGCTGTGGGGAGCCCCCCACTTGCCTCCCCAGATGGCTGAGGCCTTGGCCTGCCTCCCAGGACCCCTGGTCCCCAGAGCGGGCTGAACCGAACCCTCGGATTAGGGCTGTCCGGGACCAGTTGTGCTGCAGACTTTACCGGCTCCTACAGCCCCGGCAGGCAGCAGGGCCGGCCAGCCGGGAGGAACCGGCGCCAAAGGGATTCAGCACAGCCTGGTGCCCATCTCGGAGCCCAGGGCACCCTCCTGTCACATCCTCTGGGCCTACTGCAGGGCAACTCCGGGCACCAGGGCCGGTTTGATCCCCAAATACCTCCCCATGTTTTGGAAACAGCCGCATCTGCCATTTATTTAGCAAAAAGAGAAGCCGTGATCACGCCACACACCAGGCAACCTGGGGCAGGGCGGGCGGCTCTCAGCACGGCAGGAGGGGCAGGAACGGCAACTTCTTATGCCCCCTCCCTGCTGCCAGTGCCGACTCACGGCAGCAAATGACTCGTGCTTGCATGGAGGGTGGGGGTGGGCTTAGCTTCCCTGGTCTCTCCCAGAGGCTCATGGGAAGGAGGCTCTCGTCTGGAATTCAAGAGACCAGGGTTCTAGTCCCAGCTCAGTCACATCCCCGCTCCGTGTCTCAGTTTCCCCACCCGTGAAACAGGGCCAGAGATTCTGACCCTGAGAACCGGGGCAGGCCCATGACAGCAGCGAGGGGCGCTGTCTCCCTCCAGTGGCTGGTCTGTGTCACAGGTTTATGAGTTTGCTACGGCTGCCCTGCTCAGAGCTCAGACCAGAGAGCTGCCTATCCACTAGGCCATGCTGCCTCCCCGGTATAATACAAGAGACATCAGTGGGAGGGAGACAAGGGGAGCCCAGGGACAAAGGGAAAGGTTAGAGGTCAGCAGGATGGGCAGTGCCCAAGGGCAGAAGCTTCCCAGCCAAAAAAGTAGCCAATGGTTTGTGACTCCCCCAGGCTGATCTGCCTCCACAGCCAATGGGGCAGCAGCTGGTGTTCCAAACCCTCCCCACCCTCCTTGTCCCCACCCTCGGAGCATGAGCCAGGCCAGAGATACCGTAATACACCTACTATTAGTGTACAGAGCCTGGCACAAAGGGTCCCGGGGCCAAGGCCCGGGTCCTGGGCACTATCGTAATACACCTAATAAATCACATTCAGTACAGAAGTGAACCTCCCCCTCCGGCTAACGCCGAAAGGGTGAGTGCTGTGCTGGGGTCAGTGCAAGCCTCCTCACCCCCCACCTGCCCCCCGAAACCCCCACTCACCTTGGCTGCCTCCACATTCCCTTCCTCCACCTCCTGGAAGCCCCGGGCCTCCCGCACCTTGGAGTCGTACTGCAGCTGCAGCTCCTCCAGCCGCCGCTTCCTCACCTCCACCTGGTGCTTCAGGTCGTTCAGCCGGTTGATCTTCTCGCAGAGGCGGTGGTTGATGAACTCGATGGCGCCCTCGGGAGGAGAGAGGAGGGAAAGGGCAAATCGTACAGGGCGGGGTGTTTTTCAGGCAGCGTCTCAGCTCCCACTGAAATCACCCCACCAATACGTCGCCCTCAGCTTGAATCAGACCTTCCCTGGGATCCCCGCCCCCAAACCCCATGGTTGGTTTCATACCAACAGGAAACAGAACTGACCCTTTCGGGCTCTGATCCTGCACAATGTTCAGCGTGGGATCAGAGTTACCCACCCTCAATCCCAACCTACAGCCCCCCGCTATCCCAGCCCTGCCCCCCCAGATCTTCTAGTGCCCCTCAATCCTGACCCACAGCCCCCTGATATCCCAGCTCTGCCAGTGCCCCCAATCCCGACCCACAGCCCCGATATCCCAGCTCTGCCAGTGCCCCCAATCCCGACCCACAGCCCCCTGCCATCCCAGCCCTGGGCTCCCGACACCTCTGCAGATGCCCCTGATTTCTCTCTTTTTCCCGCCTAGAAATGCGGGCCTGGCGACCGTTCATCCGTAGCTTTGACCAGCTGGCCTGGCACACAGCACGGCGCAAAAACCCACACACCTCTCCACTTTTATTTTTCAGTGAGGCCTTTTCGGCAGCCCGGTCCCGGAACACCTCTTTTATGATTTGTTCCTCTCCCTGCAGAAAGAGACGGCTGCTGTCACCCTCAGAGCTCCTCGGGCCAGGTGACACTTCCAGTCCCGGCACATTGATCTGCGGAACAGACGCCCCGATTCCTGGACACGCCTGCCCCCACCGTCCCTTGGTCCAGTGACAAGCAGACAAGGTGGGTGGGAATGAGCTTTCACTGTTTGTATTGTGGTAGCAGCCTGGCAGCACAGTCATAAGCCATTGGGCTGAGCACTGTACTGTACATTAGGTGTATTATGGTAGCACCTAGGAACCCAAGACATGGGCCAGGACCCCATTGTGGTAGGTGCTGTACATTATTTATTAGGTGTATTACGGTAGCACCAAGGCACCCAAGGCATGGGCCAGAACCCCATGGTGCTAAATGCTGTGCATTATTTATTAGGAGTATTACGGTAGCACCTAGACACCCAAGGCACGGGCCAGGACCCCACTGTGTTATTTATAAGGGGAATTATGGTAGCGTTTAGGAGCCCCGGCCATGGCACAGGACCCGGTTGTGCCAGGCGCTGTACAGGCACAGAACACAAAGCCAATCCCGGCCCGGGAGAGCTTATCTAGGTCACTGGGAGAGGGTTCAGAGAAGAGCCAGGAGAACGATTAAAGGCCCGATAGCCGCAGGCCCAAGGAGCAGCATCGGGTCAGTTTCCCAAAGCGACGGTTAAGGGGTGGCGTGATCACGATTTCGAAGTGCCGGCGTGGGGACCAGCAAGACGATCAGAGGAGCTCCCCAGTCCAGCAGCCAAAGCCCTAACAAGAGCTGCAGCTAGACCAGTTCAGACTGGAAATAAGTAGCTCATTTTTAACCCCAGGGGAGCAATTCGCCAGGGTCTGCGGGGACTCTCCCTCCCCGCCCATTTTAAAGTCAAGACTGGCTCTTTTCTCTAGCTCCAACAGGAGATCATTCAGGGCAGTTCTGCGGCCGGCGTTCTTCACAGCTCAGCCTAGACGATCGCCGTCGTCCCTCCTGGCCCTGGAATCGAGGGCGCTATTCGGCACGCCAGGAGATGGCCGGTGAGAGTGCCAGGCAGCGAGACGGTGCCGGCCAGCGGGCTCAGCTCACCGGCTGCTAGATCGCAGTGGGAACACTTTGGTCCAGGAGGCAGATCTCAGGCACATCCTGCTGAAGCAGATATTTGGTTTCTCCTTTTGTCACCCACACCCTGGTGTGGAGAGAGAAGGGGGGGCTGCTACCAACCCTGCTCTGGAAAATCCTCCACAACACGTAGGCAGCCGGTGAGCTACGCCCACGGCCCATCATGCTGACCAATGCTGTCAGTTTGCTTAAGTCTCCCCACCTGCCTGTCTCCACCTGCCATCTCCTGTCTTGTACTTAGCTTGGAAGCTCTTCGGGGCAGGGATGGTCTCTTTGTTCTGTGATTGTGCAGCGCCTGGCACAACGGGGTCCTGGGCCATGGCTGGGGTGCCTCAGTGTTACCGTAATACACTTAATAAATAATGTACAGCGCCTGGCACAACGGGGTCCTGGGCCAAGGCTGGGTCCCCTAGGCCCTACCGTAATCCACCTAATAACATACAGTACCTGATACACCCTCCACCTTCACACATATTCCCCATCTGTACACCCCTATACACTCCCCTGCACCCTCCTACATCCCCACCCCACCCCCATAGACCCTCACATCCCCCCACACCCCAAAAATAACCCCCACCTACCCCCATAGACCCACATGCTCACCCCCCCACCCATCCCCCAGACCCTCACGCTCACATCTCCCACGCACACCCCCAAAATAACACCCCACCCACCCCCACAGACACTCACCCCCACTTATACCCCCCACACCCTCATGCTCACATCCCTACATATACCCCAACCTGCATACACACACCCGCAGGACTCCATGTCTTCCGCACCTGCGCACCCTAAAACGCTCTGCCACACCCTCATAAACCTCCCGCCCACCCAGCCCCATACACCTCCCAACCCCACAGAAATGCCTCAACACTGGACCACAACAAGAGCTGAAAGAAGTCTCTGAGTGGGGGGCTGCTGCTCTCCAGCTCACGGGCAACCAAAGCACACCCTGAAGGGAGCAGGGCCACACACTCGTGCCACAGGCTCTGAGCGCCCTGCCAGCCCTGGGGACTGCTCACCGCCAGGATGGCCGCCAACTTCTTGTGCAGCTTTTTGTTCTCCTGCCTCAGCCAGACAATGGACTCCCTGTTCTTCTTGATGGTCCACTGGGAGCTCTCGTAGAAAGCTTTCCGGTCGCCCTCTACCAAGGGGGCAAAACAGCCCCACGTGGGGGAGTTACCAACAAGTACAGGCAGCTGGGCCACTGCCTGTCAGCCCCTCGGCTCGCCCAATCAAAGCAAGGGCTAGCATGGCCAGGACTTGGATGGGATACCTCTGAGATGCTCTCCCCTCTGTGCCACCAAAGAACCCTGGTCCCTAGGGGGCACTTATCAGCCAGATGTTCTGCAACTGAGCTAGAGAAAGGCAACCCAATAGGAAGGCCCCTCTGAATGCCTCCTTGCCTTGTTTAGGTCACTTGCTCTGAAACCTGGGGTACATCCACAGGAAATACAGGGCCCATCTAGCTCACCACCCTGACTCTGAAAGCAGACAGCTTCAGCGGAAGGCACAAGAAACCCTCTGCAATAGCAGATGGGGGCTAGTGTGCCCCCCAGAGGTCCCATCTAGTCTCTAATAGCTCAAGACTGGCCGAAGCATTGGGTTTTATCCTTTCCAATGCTCTTTGATAGCATGAACTGTTCTAACTCTGGATCTTGTTATCCAAAGCTAAAACCCTACCAAATTCTTGGCCATGAAAAATGCATCCCGGACCATGAAATCTGGTCTTTTGTGTGCTTCTACCCCATACTACACAGATTTCATGGGGGAGACCAGCGTTTCTCAGATTGGGGGTCCTGCCCCAAAAGGGAGTGGCAGGGGGATCACAAGGTTTGCCTTCAGAGCTGGGCGGCCGGAGAGCAGCAGCTGTCGGCCGGGCGCCCAGCTCTGAAGGCAGCACCCCGCAGCTGCAGCGCAGAAGTAAGGGTGGCAGTACGGCAACTCCCCTCTAATAACCTTGCAACCCCCCAGAATTCCTTTTTGGGTCCGGACCCCCTGCTATTACTGTACAACACCATGAAATTTCAGATTTAAATCCCGGAAATCATAAAATTGACTATTTTTAAAATCCTATGACTGTGAAATTGACCAAAATGGACAGCGAATTTGGTAGGACCCTATCCATAGCCAGTCCTTCTTCCAATCCTGCTGTTCTCCACCTCAGCGCCATCCAGTGGCAGGGAGTTCCAGAGTCTAAAGGCTGTGTGGCTAAAGCACCTCTGCTCTCCTCGCCGCCCCATCTACTCCTAGGGGATGGAGCACTGGACTGGGACTCAGGATACCTGGATTCTATTCCCAACTCTGCAACTGGCCTGCTGGGCAACCTCGCACAAACCATTTCCCTGCTCTGTGTCTCAGTTTCCCCTTCGGTAAAATGAGGATAATAGTACTAGCCGCCTTGGTAAATCGCTTTGAGATCTACGGACGAGAAGCACTATATAAGAGAGGGATTATTCTTCCTCATCATCCCCAGCTTGGGGCTGGATTTTGCTGTGCAGGAAGCTGTTGCTGGAGAGAAGAATTTAACCCCCTCCACCCCACTCTGGGTTAACAGCACGCTGGGGGCAGCTTGAGTTGAGAAGGAAGCACTGATGCAGATGGAGAGCCACATGTAGGGACCTCTCCCCCTTCTGAATGCTGACCCCCACCCCCCTCTCCTGCCCACCCCCAGGGCAAGCACCCCCACCCCACCCAGTGGGTGCGGAACAGCTACGTACCTAGGAGCTGTATCTTATTCTGCAGCTCTGAGATCTGCTCGTGGACTGGGGGCTTCACCCCGGCAGGGTCCAGCGTTGCTGGCATGGTGGCAGCAGCCCCCTGGCACTAGCAAGGTGCTGGAGAGCAGGGTGCCGAGGCACAGAGGCACGCTAGAGCTCTCAGGGGAGCACCCTGGGCAGGGAGAGGGGGCACCCTAGGGCAGATGGGGCACCCTGGGTATGGAGAGGGGGCACTCTGGGCACGGAGAAGGGGCACCCAGGGGAAGATGGGGGGTACCCTGGGGAAGATGGGGGGCACACTGGGGAAGATGGGGGGCACCCTGGAGGGCACCCTAGGGTAGATGGGGGCACCCTAGGGCAGGAGAGGGAGCACCCTGGACAGGAGAGGGAGCACCCAGGGGAAGATGGGGGGTACCCTGGGGAAGATGGGGGGTACCCTAGGGCAGGAGAGGGAGCACCCTGGACAGGAGAGGGGGCACCCTGGGGAAGATGGGGGGTACAATGGGGGGCACCCTAGGGCAGATGGGGGCACCCTAGGGCAGGAGAGGGAGCACCCAGGGGAAGATGGGGGGTACCCTGGGGAAGATGGGGGGCACAATGGGGGGCACTCTAGGGTAGATGGGGGCACCCTAGGGCAGGAGAGAGAGCACCCTGGACAGGAGAGGGAGCACCCAGGGGAAGATGGGGGAGCACGCTGGGGCAGATGGGGGCACCCTGGGGCAGGAGGGGGAGCACCCCAGGGAAGATGGGGGGCACGATGGGGGCAAACTAGGGCAGATGGGGGGCACCCCGGGGAGGGGAGGTAGCACCCCAGCGGGTGGCTCCACTCCCCTCAGTGCCCGAGCTTCCCCCGCCCGGCAGCCGCCTCTGCGCCCCTCCAAGGCCCCGCTCCCCATTCAACATCCTCCGCCCAGCTCGCCATGGCAACCAACGCTGACACAAAGCCTCCCATTGGCCGCCGGGGCGCGGGTGCGGCGGGGCATGATGGGAAGAAGGTCACCGGCCTTTGACCCACTGTTTGGGAGCTTGGTAACCGCGCTGCCCCACTCCGCCGCCGTCCAGTGGAGGAGGGGGAGACTGGGAGACATCCTCTTCTCCCCCTCCCGCTTCCTCTCCCTCGGCCCCCCTTGCTATTGTTGGCCGGGAGACTTCCGCCACATTCAAGGTGGCCGCCAAAGGGAGACGCAGCCTGTAACATCGTGGTTAGAAGGTGGGGGGAGGGTCAGGTACTTCCGCCACATCCAAGATGGCGGCTCGCCATTGGGCCGGGGGCGACCAATGCCACTCTCAAAATGGCGGCCTGAACACGACGTTTCCTTTGTCTCTCCCGCCTCCATCCTTTTGTGGGCGACCAAGCGGATGTGAGCAGCCGCTGACTTCCGGTTTCTCTGGCGTGGACCCTGGACCCTTCTCCGCGGGGATTCCGCCCCTTCCTCGGGTACCGGGGGGCTGGGTCTGTAGGGGCCTCAGCGGGGGGAGGGGCTGGCCTATGTCTATAGGGGCCCGGGGCGGGGGGGTGAGTTCCGTTCTATAGGGGCCTCCATGGGAGGGGGGGAGAGCTGGATCTATAGGGGCCTCAGCGGGGGCGGGGCTATGTCTATAGGGGCCCGGTGGGGGGTGAGTTCCGTTCTATAGGGGCCTCCATGGGAGAGAGGTTGGAGCTGGATCTATAGGGGCCTCAGCGGGAGAGGGGGGCTATGTCTATAGGGGCCTCTGGGGGATGGATGGGGCTGGGCTGTATCTCTGGGGCCGCAGTGAGGGGCGGGATCTATAGGGGCCCTGATGGGGCCGTGAGCTCAGTTCTGTAGAGGCCTCCCTGGGTGAGAGACAGGCGCGGGGTCTATGGGGCCTCAGCGGGTGTGGGGCTGGCTCTATAGCGGACTGGGCCCCTCAGTGGGGAAGGAGCTGGGGAGCATTGGGCTGGCCAGGGGCAGGTTCCTACAGGGGCCTGTATAGGATTTGAGGCCCCCCCTCCCCCGGGAATGGTGCAGAGGAAACAACTCGCTTCACTGGCTCCCTTTTCTTCCCTCCCCACCAGGATCTGCTGCCTCTGCCTGTGGATCATGCTGCTGCCCCTGCTGCTGCCCCTACTGAGCGCCCTGGCCTCTGCCGTGGAGGTGAAGCGACCCCGGGGTGTCTCTTTGACCAGTAAGTTACCAGGAGCTGTCACACGGTCCCAGACTGAACTGGGTCCCTGGCCCTTTAAAGAGTGCTTGGGGGCATGGCTAGCTAGAGGAAATGCCCCTTTGTCATCTCGCTGCAGAGTTAGTTCCCCTTTATGTGGGCAGAGCGCTGCATCCCCCCATGCACCTCCACCATTGGCTAGAGGCTCTCAGAGTTTCATGGCCATTCCATAATCCCCCTCCAAGGTAGGGCAGTATATTTAACTAGATGGGGAAACTGAGGCACAGAGCAGGAGCGTGCTTACCCCCAAGGTCGTTCTGGGAAATCAGGGTCAGAGCCAGGACTAGAATCCATGAGTCCTGAATTATCACCCCCTGCTTTAATCTCTAGACCCCAGGCCCCTTCCAGAGCTGGAAATAGAACCCAGGAGTCCTGACTCCCAGCCCCCTTGCTCTAACCACTCCCTTCCCAGATCCCAGAAGCAGGGCTTTGGAGATGTGCTCCGGCTCTGCTCCAGCTCCCGGCAAAAACCTGCAGCTCCACTGCTCTGGGGCTGCTCCGCACTCCAGCTCCGGGCTCCGCTCCAAAGCCCCGCTCAGAAGAGAACCTGGGGTCCTGACCCCCAGTCCCCCTGCTCTAGCTACTAGCCCACAGCTCCACCTGTGAGGCCTGGGGTACAGCCTCCTGGGGTACGGCAGTTGCCTCCTATTTGGCAAGCGAGGGTGGCAGAGTAAAAGCTCTGAAACCTGTTCGTTAAAATCGAGGCTTTCTTAATGAGCCACTCCTCCTCTCTTGATTGCGGGGTCAGTGATGGCGGGTCTGATGGGTGGTAGCTTGTCCTAGTACTTGGAGCCCTGGGCCTGGAGCCAAGAAGCAACGCTGAGCCAAGTGCCGAGCCTCGAAGAGCCCTGGTTGGTTGCCACCTGGGCAGTGTGGCTGGAAAGCTGGCCTAGTGGTCGTTGCTCCTCCAGGCCTATTGGGTGAGGTCTGGAGGGAGCACAGGTGCCGAGAGGGAGGGGTTGGGGGTGAATCTCCACAGATCCCCCCTTCCCTGTCACGTCTCCGGTTCTCTCCCTCCCAGACCATCACTTCTACGAGGAATCGAAGCCGTTCACCTGCCTGGACGGGTCCTCGACCATCGCCTTCGACTGGGTCAATGATGATTACTGCGACTGTCAGGACGGCTCGGACGAGCCAGGTGTGTGACGGGCCGGAGAGCCCCCTGCCGATAAGGCAGCAGCGTTGGCATGGGGCTGTGCCCGCCAAGGCAGGTCCTGCCTGAAAGAGCAGGAGGCACACGTGGAGAGTGGCGGGGGAGGACATGAGGCAGCTGGGCAGGGCATGATGGGAGGCACAAAGCAGGGAGGAGGAGAGGGGACTGAGGGGTTGTCCTTCGCTCCCCTCAAGCTCAAGTGTGGCTCAGCACATCTCATCTAGTCAATTCCCTGCCGTTGTGGGGTCGTCGGTGGCACCTTGGTCCCTCCTGGTCTCTGCCCTTGCACAGCTTAGCTTCCAGAGTTCTGAAATACGTGGGTGGGACTGAAATCACGGCCGGTCCTGGGGGACAGGCCAGGTGATCCCTTCTGGCGTTCAAGCGCTCGGAAATAAGCCTCGCGTTGCTGTGTTCTCGCTGCCTCAGCTCTCGGGGGCCGCACTAAGCGCACCCCATGGCTGAGCCACACGGTGGGTGCTTTCCCGGGGAATTGGAGGAGAATCTGCCCAGGGGGGTGGGAAGGCGTTGGAGGCCTGTCAGCCCCCTACAACTGGAGCGCTAGCCATGGCGGCGGGAGGTGTAGACGGGACTTGGGCTACGTCTGCTGTGAAGCCCAGCCCTGAGGGCAAGGAGACTTGGCAGCTGCCCGCTGCAGGTCTGTGCTCTGCCAACCAACAGGGCTCGTGTGTGTCTTTCAGGGACCTCTGCTTGCCCTAACGGCCGGTTTCACTGCACCAACGCTGGCTACCGGCCACAGTACATCCCCTCCTCCCGCGTCAATGACGGCGTCTGCGGTAAGCTGGGCCGCCCCTGCTCGGGGGCCAGGGGGGTTGCTCTGCCTGGGAGTGCCTCGGGGCACAGGGTGGGGCCCTGACGGCCGGTGTTGTCTCGCTTTCAGATTGCTGCGATGCCACGGATGAGTACAACAGCGGCTTTGTGTGCGAGAACACCTGCAAGTGAGAGCAGCCCCCGGGATGGGGATCAGACTCGTCTAGGGGGACTGGATGGCTCGGGGGACATGGGGCCCTTCCCTCTAGGGGGCACCAGCTCCAATCTGGCCCCAGGGCAGGAGGCGGGGAATGGGACATGCGGGCCTTTCCCCTGTAGAGGGCACCAGCTCTGACCTGGCCCCAGGGCGGGGAAGTGGCTGGCTCAGGGACAGGGGGCGGGACACGGGGCCTTTCCCCTCGAGGACTCTGCTTCCCGTTGAGTTGCTCCCCTGTGTTTAGCGCCTTGTCCAGGGGGGTTCAGTCCAGTACCCAGCACGTGGATGTCGCCTCATGGAAATCGCTGTCCGAGCTGGCGCCCCCCCATCTCAGCAGAGCAGCCACGGGTCAGTGGGGCCCGGGAGTGGGTGGCCCACCCGGGGTGACTCCTCCAACCCAGTGCTGAGCTGCTTCGTGCTGCGGGGTGGGGGAGCGGGAGCAGGGAACTTGGCTGTTTACCCCATCAGCTCCTGGGGGAAGCTTAAACTTCAGCGCCTATCGCTGGCAGTAAAATTGACCAGGGAAGGCTCATCCCTGCTCGGCTGGCCCGTCCCTGCACCAGCCCAGTAGCCAGCTGCTGCCTGAAGCGTCCCACCTCCACTGCACCTGCTAACACAGCCCGTGATCACGTGGTGCCCCTCTCTAGGGGCCGCACCCGTACAGGTGTGAGTCTAACAGCCCCGGGGTGTCTCCCTCCGGCAGGAGAGCTCCTGCCCTTAGATCCAGTGGTCCCAGGCTCAGTGGTGCCGCTGGCTGATCCGGGGCCTCTCTCCTCCCCTCCACCCCGTGCAGAGAGATGGGCCGGAAGGAGCGGGAGGCACTGGTGCAGATGGCAGAAGTGGCCAGGGAAGGCTTCCAGCTCAAGCAGGTGCTGATTGAAGAAGCGAGCAAGGGCAGGGAAGACAAACAGGTGAGGGGACTGGGGAGCTGGGGGCCGGGTCTGGTGAGCCCAGCCAGGCCGTGGGCATGGAGCATGCCGGGGGCCCAGCTGCTGAGGAGGGAGCTCAGAGCAGCATTGAGTGTGCATCGGTGCCGCTTGCTTGGGTCCGTTGACACCGCAGACAGGGTGTGAGGGCAGCCCCATGCCAGTGTAATCTGTGAACCCACCACGGACTGGGTTCCTAGTCTGGCTCTGCAGCAGAGCCCAGGGGAGAGGAGGCTGGCTGGTTCTGCTCCCAGCTGCGGGAGGTTTCGATCCGGGAAGAGGATGGACGGGGGCTCAGGAGTTCTGGGTTCAGTTCCTTGCTCAGCTGCTGGGCGACCTTGGGCAAGTCGCTGCATCCCCCCCCACCCCCGTGCCTCAGTCCCCTGCGTGTGGATCAGAGATGATCCCTGCAACGGGTGGCGAGGGTAAAGCCGGGGGGGAGTGAGGAGCTGGGCCTGAGGGCCTGACCCCCCTAGCTGGGCAGGGGCCGCTGCTTGGTGACTGCTGAGTGTGGCAGGCCCAGCCTGCTCTCCGACCCACCCCCACCCCCGCTGAGCCGCGGGGGCGGGGCCAGCCTGCTCCCTGACCCTGAGTAGGAGGGGCCAACCTGCTCCCTAACACCCCCCATCCCCACCTGCCCCCTGCGCAGAGGACACTGGCTGAGCTACAGGAGGGGAAGAAGTCTCTGGAAGAGCAAGTGGAGATGCTGAGATCGGGGAAGGAGGCAGCAGAGAAGCCAGAAAAGGAAGCCAAGGAGATTCACCAAAAGAAGTGGGAGGGTGAGGGCAGTGCCTGCTCCGTGGGGCTCTGGGGCAGGGGGAGGACTCTGGGGCAGGGGGAGGGCAGTGCCTGCTCCGTGGGACTCTGGGGCAGGGGGAGGGTGCCCCGGCTGGCTCTGTGGGGCTGGGAGCATTGCTGTGAAAGAGGCAGTCTGGTCCAGTGGGCAGAGCACCAGGGCGGGAGTCGGGCTCCCCTTTTCCAGGGGAGTGCAGCAGACTGGATAGATCAGGGAACAGGGCACCAGGCCCCCGGGTCTGTGCCTTCCTCCAGGAGAGGAGCAGGGTCTGGTGGGGAGATGGGGTGGGGGGATTCGGAAGCCGCTGGGGGGCTTTGCAGGCTCCGGCTCATTCAGAGCCGTCACTTTGTCCCTCTCGCAGGGACTCCAGCCTTCTGGGCTGGGCTCGCTGGCTGTTAGCAAACCCCGGCTCCGGGCTCTTCCCAGCTGGGGCCACGCGGCTGAGCCCTGGGCTGGGGCTTGGAGGATCCGGCTTCCAATCTCCGCTCCGACAGCGACTTGGGCAAGTCACTGGATCTCTCAGGGCCGCAGCTCCCTGACGTCAGTGCGGTGCCCAGTGTGACGGGGGCGGGGGGGGGGGCTGGGCAGGGGGCCCCAGGCTCTAACCGGAGCTCTGTGGCTGGTCCCACACAGAACAGAAGGCGGCCGAGAAGGCGGCGCAGGAGCAGGCCCGAGCCAGCGAAGCCTTCCAGGACCTGGACGATGACGGAGACGGCCTGTGAGTCTCTGGGGCTTGCTGGGGGGGGGGGGGGTGGATCCCAGCAGACAAAGGGACGTCTGCACAGCACCCCCTGCCTGTATGTGCTGAGCCCCCCTTGTCCCCGGTGCAACTCCTGGCCAGCCAGGACGAGCCCCCAGCAGTGTGTGCGCTCCTTGCTGTGTAGCCCGGATCCCCGGGGGGTGTCGGGGTCCAGCAGCATCCTCAGTAGGGACTGGCCTGGCTGGTGCCTTTGCCCCTCACAGAAGTGGGTGAGGCTGAGACCAGACCCCTCTGCCTGTCTCTGCAGATGCCTTCGGACTCTGCCTTCGATCCCTGCTGCTATCTGCCCCGGCCCCTCCCCTCCGCCAGTCTCCCTCTGGGCCAGCACAAGAGTCCCTGTGGTGCTGGGATAACCTGCCCCAGGGAAAGATCCCCCCGGCAGAGCTCGTCCCGTGCCTGGGGAGCTCAGTTCAGCCAGGCAGCTCGTTGCTGATGGACCGACAGGCCAGCGCTGAATTACAGCCTCCGAGCACTTGGAGAGGTGGGGGGAGCCGGCTGCACTGAGCACCCGGGGAGGGGCGCAGGTCAGAGGTGACCCATCTGCGCGGGTCGGTGAGGTGCCAGCTAAGATGGGGGTTACACTCCTGCCCCCCCCCCCAGTTTGTTTCAAAGTCACAAAGGAGATTGGCAGATGGGCATGTGCGGCAGGCTCCTCTCCAGCTGCTTGGCCGATCGCCAGTCGGAGGCATTCAGACCCCACACCTGCCGTCTGCATAGGGGGCACCGGCTCACGCATCCTGTCTGGTCTTTCCCCTCCCCCTTCTCCTGCCGGCAGGGTGTCGGTGGCTGAGCTCCAGACCCACGCGGAGCTGGATGTGGATGGAGACGGAACCCTCTCAGAAACGGAAGCCCAGGTACGGAGGGGGCGGCGTTCCCAGGACGGCGGCACAGTGATGTGCCAAACAGTTCTTAGAACGTCTCACATTAACACTCCAAGGGGGGGCGTCCTCCATTCACCAACAGGGAAACTGAGGTAGGAAAGGGCCTTGACCAAGTTTGCAGAGTCAGTGGCATGACGCTGCATACTCACAGAGCTGGGCAAAGAGCCCAGGAGTCCTCAATCCCAGCCCCGCCCCCTACTGTAACCACTGACCTCACTCCCCTCCCAGAGCTGCCAATAGAACCCAGGAGTCCTGACTCCCAGCCCCCCTGCTCTAACCAACTAGACCCCACTCCCCTCAGCATGGAATCCCATGCTCGGATTCGTAAACTCTACCCAGGGATGGTTTCACCTCGCACGGAAATGCAGCCACCTCTGGGGTGGGAAGCAGCCACGGCTTAACAGCTTCCACTACCATCATGTAACAGGGCTACGTTTCCCTTTCCCACAAAGCCCCCCCACCCCATTTGCAATTAAATCCCACCTACCAAGGTGGTGTCTGATCCTGTTACAAAGGCCGAGCTCCACCCAGCTCGCGGAAACCCTCCCGCGCTTGGGCTGCTGTGTTCGCTTCTGTGGCCGCAATGAAACCTGCAGAAATTCAGCTCGGTCCCTCCTGGCCCCCAACCCACCAAAACCCAATTCCCAATTCTAAAGCCCCCCAGGGACCAGAACGGCTCCCAGCCACCAACATCCGTTCCCCCTGTTCTCCAGCAGGTGGCAGTAGTGGCTCACAGGCAGGCTGTGGGTGTCCAATACTGAGGGTGTTTTGGGGAGGGGGGGAGATTCCCCCCATCAGCCCTGTTTTCTCTGAGGACTGAGTAGCTTCCTCTCCCCCCAGGTGCTCTGGGTCGCCGGTTGGAATCTGGCTTTGGCCCAGAACCACCGGGGAGCGTTCGCTGGCTTGGACTGGCTGCCCGAGTAGACAGGCCAGAAAACCGCTGGTAGCCTGACCAGAATCCCGTTCTCCTGGGGGCTGCCAGCGCAGCCCAAATTTCGGCAGGAGCCTTGTCGGGCTGGCCCCACACAGCCCGGCCCGGCGCCCCATGCCCCCGGCTCTGCCAGCATGCTGGCGATCTTGCAGGCTCGGCACCGGATCACCAGCACCATGGTGCAGCCCGTACCCGCCGCGGGAGGGGCTTGTTGCCAGGCGGGCGTGGCATTCCCTGGCGTGGCCGATGTCCTCTCTAGATGACGGGCGCAGGGGAAGGTCTGCATGGCACCTTGCTGGGATGCATCAGTCCAGGCTCTCCGCCCCCCCGGATGGGATCTCGCCCCTCGACATCGGCTCATCCCCAGGGCAATTTTGGAAGGCTGCTCATGCAGGAGGATAGGAACTGTCGGGCCAGGGAGCAATCTATGGGGCGCATTACAGTAGCGGTTAGAGGCTACAGCTGAGATCTGGGGGCTGCTGGCGTGCCAGGCGCTGCACAGACTGCCCCGCTCCCTACACCGAGCTCTGGGGGGCCCTCCATTGAGTCGACTGCCGCACAGATCTGAGAGACCCCAATGAGCGGGGCACAGCACAGACCCCTAGGGAGAGACAGACCCTGCCCAACAGGGTAGGGAAAAGGAAGGATGGTTGTCCCCACTTTAGAGGTGGGGAAATCGAGGCACAGAGAGATTCAGAAGTTAGCCAGGGAGACAGTGGCTGAGCCCGGAGTCCCAGCTGGGTGCTTTAACCACTAGTCCAGCCTGCCTCTCTGCTAGCCCTGGCTCTGCTCAGCTGCTGCAAAGGAAGAACCCCTGCAGGAGACTATGCTGGGTTAACTCTCTCCTGGGGGGGGCGGCTGCCTCCCAGTCCTGCCACTTAGAGATCAGCTCCTGGGTGGGAGTCGGGGCCTGCGTAGCCCCTGCCACACTGATCCCGGCAAGTCTCACCCTCTCCAGTCTGCCGCCACGTGCTCAATATCGCAGTCTAGTTTTGCCCTCCTCTTGGCCTCCTCTTGGCCTCATCTGTGTCCGGTGGCAGTGAGTCCCAGAGACCTTGCTGTGCCCTGCTGTACCGAAGCCTCAATGCTTCTCTTTCAGACTCTTCTGGGGAACGCCTTGCAGGCCGACGCCGCCAGCTTCCAGGACACCGTGTGGGCTGCAATCAAGGAGAACTACAAGCCCGAGGTCAGTGCTCTGGGGCCAGCGCTCCTCCAAGGGGGCCTCTGCATCCCTCTCTGTCTGGAATAACATAGCAAGCCCCTGGCAGCATTGTCTAGTGAATAGAGCATGGACTGAGACCTGGGTTCTGCTGCTGGCTCTGCCGCAGGCCAGCTGGGTGGGCTGTGTGCCTCAGTTTCCCTAGCTCTTACAGCCCTAACATGCAGCTCGCGGGCATGTGGTGTTGCCAGCGTCACCAGTGACTGGGTGTGAAACCTCCTGGCAGTGTGCAGCGTGAAGGGATGATCGTTGGATGCGCCCTGGGTGGCGAGTCACTGCCCCCATCAGTGCCTCAGTTTCCGTAGCTCTTCTCTCATGCTTTTCGTTGGTGAAGCTAAAAGTGCTTCACAAAGTAGCTGAGGATCGTTGTCCCCATTGTGCAGGTGGGGAAACTGAGGCATGGAGCGGGGAAGTGATGCCCCCGCAGCAGGGTGGTGCGCTGACCCTGCTTGGCGGCGTCGGGGGGCAGCCGGGTGCTGCGCTGACGCTGGCCTGTGGCTGCCATGTGCTTCCAGGGCCTGCCCGACGCCGCTCCCCTGCCCGAGGCCCCGAGAGAAGAGGCCCCAGAGCCCCAGCCGGACCTGCCCCTGGAGCAGCCAGCTCCCGAGGATGACTATGATGACGAGGAAGAGGAGGAGGGCGACGATGATGAGAGCAACGAAGAGGAGCCAAAGGTAGCGCCGGGGAGGGTTTGGGGAGGGGCTGTGACCTGGCCCTCGCGGATCCGGGCCAGCTGGGGCAGAGATAGGAGACCCCAGGATCTCTCTGAAGACCCCAGTCCTTGCAGCGATCTCCCCACAAGTGACGCCTCCTGATTGCCCCAGCACTCAATTTAATCCCAGCTGCTTGACTCTCCTTCCTGCTAGCCTACAGGGGTCTCCTGAGCCCCTGTGGGAATTAGGGGCATGAGGAAGCTGATAGGATTCAGGCTCCTAAATCCCTGCAACTCCCCACCAGTGTCTATCCTGTCCTTCAGGGGACATGCACGTGACCCCACAGGAGCATTGGGATCACTGGACCGGGGCAGGCCCATCTAGCCCTGCATCCCATCTCCAGTAAGCCAGGGCCAGCTGACTCCGCGGAAGGAGCAAGAATCCTTGTGGTGGTGGGATAACCAGCCCCCAGGGACAGGCTCCTCCGAACCCCCATCAGAGCTCAGCCCTTTTCCCAAAGGGGAGGGGGCAGGGGTAGGGATGGTTCTAACCCTCCCGAACCCTTGGTCATTCTCCCTCTGGATAATCTCATTCTCCATCTAAACACCCAGCCCCTCTTGCCCTCCTGCTGAGCTCCATGCCGTCATGTGGCAGTGAGTTCCGCTGGCTCATTGCATATAGCTAGAGGGTTGCATGCTCCCAGCATGGACTCCATGCATCCTTCCATTCAGGGACTCCCTGCAACCTCTTCCCCACCCCACCCGCAACAAGCCAAGGTTCCAGTCCAACTTCCCTGTTCCCCTTCAGGTCCCGCCACCCAAGCAGCCGTCCGACAAGGCAGCGGAGGAGGACGAGGAGGAGAAGATGCCCCCTTATGATGAAGCAACGCAGGCCCTCATTGACGGTAAGGCTTTAAATCAGAGACAGGAACTGCCCGCAGGGGCTGGGGAATTCTCCCCCAGCGGGATCTGGAATGTGCCAATATGATGCTGATAACTCGACTTCTGGTTGCCAATGGCCCTGTACAGACATCCCAGCCCCACCAGGGGGAGCTCCGTGTATGTAGTGGGCAGTGGGGGGCCCAAAATCCCTTAGCCGGGCCCCGAATTCAAACTGGGGTCGCCCCTCTTGGCCGCGTGACTCTGCCGCCCCCTCCCCGCATCCCGAAGCCTGGTCCAAATGCCAGTGGCCGTGTGAGCCCCTAGCGACCATCGGCGCTCAGCACCCAGTCTGGCAGCTTCTCTTGGCTCGGGGTCGCTCCGTGACCATCTGAAGTCAAAGCGTGTTTGCCGGCGTCCCTCACTAGCATCTGGGCTCCCAACCCAGGGGTGCAGAAGCCTCCAGCAGCGGGTTCCTTGCCACTTCTGACTAACTCCTTTTATTCCCCCCGGATCGTCTCTTTAAATGCCATGTCCAAGAGGCTTATGGGCTTAACACAGGTTGAATACGCCACCTGATCTGTAAGCAAGGGCCATTAGCTCTAAGCGGGATCGAGTGCGTGCCGTCGTGTGCAGCATCTCCAGGCTGCTCGTGCGTGGGCGGGAAGAGCCGATTTGTGTCTTTGAGTGAGTCAGAGCGTATCCAAGAACTCTCCAGTTCCTCTCGACTCCTTCGGGCTCAAGGGCTCGCCATTCGTTCCTTTCCAGGGCAGGTCACCCTGCCCAAGATGGGCCCGGATCTTCAAAACCACGTAGGTGCCTAACTCCCTTTGATTTCAAGGGGACTTAGGCACCTCAGTACCTTCAAGGATCTGGGCCAAAGTCAGAAGGCTAAAGATACAACGATGGGTCATGACTGGTGTTCATGGAGCTCCTTTCAGTTCCAAGGAGTGTAGGAACTGGGCAGCCACCTCTGAGGGGTGGCTCGGCCGCTGATTAGGGGCGCATAGCAACGCTGCCAAGTGACGGGGAGGGGTTCGAGGATGGCGAAGTATCAGCAGCTTGAATCACAGTGAGCAGGACCTGGCAGTTGCCAGCAATACCCTGTTTCTCTGGCCCCTGTCATCATGGTATCTGGGCACCTCACAATCTTTAGTGTAGTTCTCCTCAGGCAGCGCAGTGCTGTTATCCCCATGTCCTAGATGGGGAAACCGAGGCACAGAGACGGAGTGACTTGCCCACGATTGCACAGGGAGTCCGTGGCGGAGCTGGGCCTGGACCCCAGGTCTGACAGGCTAGCGCTCTAACCACTGTGCCATCCTTCCTCTAGCCAGAATTCTCTTCACCTCTTAGCTTCGCGGCCGGTGCACCTTCATCTCCCCACAGGCAGAGCAAGGCCCCTACCCCCAGCCATTCCCTTGATGGTATCTGTATAGCCAGACCGCCTTGGGTTCCATCCTGCTGTGCCCCGACCATGGGTTATGCTCTGCCCACAAGACCCAGAGGCACATTTCATCGGGCCCAACGCTGAGGAAACTGTGTGGAATTCTCCAGCCTGTAACCCAGGTGCCAGCCAGCCGATCTCGCATCTTGGGATCTCGGGATCCTCCTGCCTGGGAGCTCTGGGTGTAGAGATGGAGCTGACTTGGGGAATGGCCGGAGCTCAGCGCTTCCAGCGAGCTAGCCTCAGGGGACATGCCCTGTTCGGGACCACCCACCTGTCACAGGATGGAGGGCACATTAGCAAAGCAAACCTGCCCTGCGCCAAACCAAAATCTCGCTTCCCTCCCCCTGCCTTATTGCTCCTGCCGCAGCCTGCGACGGTGGCAATCCTCTGCCATCTCTAGGGCGTTTGAAGCACCCATTTCATGGCAGCGCCCCTGCCAGCCCCCATTTCCCCATCTGTTCCGGCAGCTAGTTCTGCTTTCCGCAGCGCTGGAGAAAAGGGGGGGAAGCTGACTCATCGCCTCCTTGTGCTGAACTCTTTGCGAAGAGCAGCGTGGGGGGAGGTGGCTTGGCTTTGAGACAGCGCTGGCAGGGCTGCGAGAATCTGATCTATTAGGTAGCGTTCAGGAGCCCCAAACAGGGACCAGGACCCCATTGTGCTGGACTCTGTACGCACAGAGAACAAAAAGCACCTCTACAGAGGAGTGGTGTGGAACCCGTCTGTCGGCTGCTGGGGCCAGTCCCTTTGCCTGGCCGTCGAATCGCAGGGTTGGAAGGGTCATCCGGTCTCACTCCCTGCCAAGATGCAGGGTTCGTTGTATCTAAACCATCCTGGACAGGTGGCTGTCCAGCCTCCTCTCAGAACCCTCCAGTGAGGGTTGTCCCTGGTCAGGAAGTTTTCCCGGAGATTTAATCTAAATCTGCTCTGCTGTAGTTTGAACCTGTTGCCCCTTGTGCTGCCCTCTGTCGCAAGAGAGAAGGTATTTGAAGACCGCTGTCAAGTCCCCCTCAATCTCCTCTTTTCCAAACTCAGCGTACCCAGTTCCTTCAGCCTTTGCTCGCGTGGCTGGCGTTCCATCCCTTGGATCGTCTTTGTCGCTCACCTCTGGGTCCCTCCAGCTTCTCTACATCCTTTCTAGAAATCAGCGACCAAAGCTGGACACAGTCCTCCTCCTGAGGCCCAGCCAGTGCTGAGCAGAGCGGTACTCGCCGCCCGTGACTTGCATGCTCAGCCTCTGTTAATGCAACCTAAAATTGCATTTGCATTGCTGACTCACGTTGAGGCCGTGATGCACCACAAGTCCCCGATGCTTCCCAGCAGGGCTGCTGCCAAGCCGGTTATCCCCCAGTCTGTATTTGTGCATTTGGCTTTTCTTCCCTGAGGGCAGCACCTTACGTTTGTCATTTTGTTGTCTGTAGCCCAGGTCTCCCTCTGTCCTCCAAAGTGCTGGCAACCCCCCTAGCTGTGTGTCATCTGTGTGTCTGAGCACCTCAGGATTTTCCAACCTGCCGGGAGGCGGTGCAGTGCTGTTATCCCCAGGGACAGATGGGGGAAATTGAGGCTCAGAGAGGCTGAGGACTGGCCTTCACCGCTCTTAGGGCGAGGTGTAACTCGGGGGTGCCCCTCCCCCGACTCTTGTCCACACGCACCTCTAGCCGGGTGCTTTGGGCTCAAGCCAGCTGGGCGCGGCCGGCATTGGGGCTTGTCCTGCCACGGGGCCCTGGCTCCTCTGACATGGGCAGGTCATGCTGCAGCCTGCAGGGGGATTCGCAGCTGGGCAGCTCTCGCTGGAGCGCAGAGACGAGCCCAGAGGGTCTGTCCGCCCCGCATAGCGAACTCGTTGCCTCGGGTTTGTTGGTGCTTTTAGCCCCGGGGGAGGGGTGACATTGTTGGAGCCTGGGTTGCGGTTTCACACTGGCTGGAACCCGCCCGCCTTGCAGCGAGGACACAGGCTGAGTTGCTCACGAGCTCCTAGTCCTCCTGTCCCCTTCCCACAATTCCCCCGAAGGGCAGACAAGTTTACCCCCGCTGATTAGGAAAGCGCCCCCGAGCGGCTCAGCACAGAGTGCCGCGGGACGCATCCGGGCAAGCGCCCTCGCTCGGCTCGGGCTTTGCAGTGGGGATGCTCACAGCCGGGCAGGGCTGTCTGGGCCGATCTCCCGGGGTAACGATGCAGCGAGGGGACCCTGGCTTGGCTTGCCCAAGGTCACCTTTGTGGGGCAGGGGCTGGCCAGTTCTGGGCTGGTGCTCCACCTCCCTTCTGCCATCCTGCTGTTCCAGCGTGGCCTCGAATTTCCTTTTTCCCGCCGGGCTGCGTCCGGCTCCCTCTCTGAACAGCGGCGCTGTCCCCTTCTCTGCTCGTTGCGGGGCTTGACTGCTGGCTCCATGCAGCCCACAGTGCCAGGGCTCAGCCCAAGTTGCCTCTTGGCTCTCTCTGTCAAGCATTTGTTACGTGCAGCAATAAATGAGGCCTACGGGGATTGTCTCAGACCGGGGGGCCAATCTACCCCAGCATCCTGTCTGCGGCAGCGGCCACACGCCATTGAACCCAGCTTTCTCCTGAGCCCCATTCAACGCATGAAGAGATGCAAGCCCTGTTTCTGCGAAGTTAATATTACACAGGTGCCTAAGCTAGGATTTGAACCCAGATCTCCGGAATCGCGGTCCGGCGCCTTAACTGCAAGCCCAACCCGGGCGTCAGGCCGGTTACAGCTCCTGAAGAGAAAGGGAATTCTGGTAAAAGCCCCCCAGCTGCCTCCCTGCCTGAGTGGCCGATGTCATCGCTGCTTCCAACCCGAGCTGTCAACACTTCAAGGCAGAGTCCAGTGAAATGTACCAGACAGAAGCCCGGGCTCTTTACTGCCGCAATGTAACAGCTGGAAGGGTCCCAGGGGCGTCTGCGTCCGGGAAGCGGGCATCTCCCCGGGAACACAGCCTCGTCAGCGTCTGCCTGGCTAAGCGCAGCTGCCTCTCCTGGGCCCGTGACCTCCGGGAAGCCGATCGATACCCAAAGCTGCTCCTTTGAGCTGAAATGGCCCAACGCCGCCCTTGGGAGCGGGGCTCCGGCGCCTGGCTCTGCCCCAGATTCGCTGCTGGTCGCAAAGGCAGGATGGTCCCGCTCAGGCCATGAGCTGGGGAGGCCGGATGGCACCATTAGTTCGTCTTCACCAAGCCTGGAAACGTGTGTTTGATCGAAGCACCTTCCAGCCAATCCTAAACTGAAACCATCAGGAGATAGATGCCGCCGTGTCCTGCGGCACCCTGTTAAGAGCCCCAAACCCGCTGTGAAGCCAGCAGCCCTGCCTTTGGAGGGCTTGGCGTCCCCATGGCGGGTTTGTATGGTCGGATACTGGTGGAGACGGGCCCTTAGCTGGATTGTGGGAGCCTCAGGAGACCCGGGCCCCGTCATGCTGGGCGCTGCATGTCCCACCGGCCTTGGCGGCGCTGCAGGAAAGCCCTTGTACGGCAGCTCACCCATCTCGCCGGGCTATCCCGGCGAAGATGAGCCTCATTGCTAGGTGAGGTCAATCCAGGGAGGGGGTGCAGGGGCCAGGGTAAATACTGATGGGGAACCCATGGGGGGGATGGAGAAGAAGGATAAATAACCATTCCCAAATCACCTACTTAGCAGTAATTAGTCAAAGTAACACCCCCTCCCTCCCGCCCCATCCAGCTCCCTAGGTGTGGCTGATTTACAGTCTGTTCCCAGCTGTGCCTCTGGCCTGCCTGGTGACCTTGGGTAAGTCACTTTCCCACCTATGCCTCAGTTTCCCCATCTGTAAAAGGGGGGAAATGCTGCTTTTTAAAGGGCTTTGAGATCTGCTGAGAACATGCTGGGGATGGTGGAACGGACATTGGCAGGATTGTCACCCTGGCTTCCGGGCTGGCCTCCCTTTCCCAGAGAAATGCAGTGACTTGCCCGGGCTCTCTGTGAATCGGTGGCAGAGCCAGGAATGGGCTCCAGATTCCAGTCCCAGAGACCAGCCTGTCCTCTCTCTCTCTCTCTCTCTCTCTCTCTCTCTCTGCGAACCCCTTTGCCCAGCGGACTGGTGAAGAGAAAGGCAGTGCAGGGGCCAAGCTGTGGGCCTTCCTAGAACGGCTAGTAGCTGCTGCTGTCTGCTTGCTCTGGCTAGTTCAGATCATTCTGTCAAGCCCAGCAGGCCGGTGTGGGCTCGGCCTCTGCAGGGGGGGCACTGGCCAGCCTAGGCTCGTCTGCTGGGGCGTTAATCCCGAATAAACTGGCGTGTGAATTCAAAGCGCGGTAGCCTCCGCACCAGGGCGCTATGCTGGACTCACTTGTGCCTGTGCAGACAGGCCTTTATGGGCCCTGCCTGCTGCTCCCCTGTTAACTTCCTGGGCTTCAGGTTGGCACCAGCCATGGGAGGGCTTCATGGCCCCCTTCCAGATCCCCGGGGCCACCCTGTCTCTGCCCCCTCCCTGTTAAACGGGTCTGAGTGGAGTCACGGCAGATGGATGGGGGGGCACACGGAGATGGGCGGCAGAATGAGCCTCTTTGCCTGTCCCGCAGGAGCAGTAGGTTGTTTACCGCACGCCTCTCTCTCCGCGGGCTAAGGGGTTGGTGCCGATGTGGGGCGGCCTCTCCCCTTCCCACCCTCTAACTGAGCTGACTTCAAGGCAGGAGCAGTGCGTGGCACCTGCCTGCCACAGCTAAACCATCTTCCGAACCAGCCCCCAGGCTGAGCTGGATTGTCTCCTCCCATTGGAGGAGGGGCTCTTCGGCAGTGGATCTGGGCCGCTAAGTCGGGGGGTGAGGGCTCTGCAGCTATCCCCTGAAGGGATGGTCCAACTGCTCTCCCAAAGGGGAAGAAGTTAGAACCCAGGAGTCCTGAATTGCCCCCCAGCTAGCCCCCCTTCCCCTTCCTGAGCCAGGGAAAGAACCCAGGAGTTCTGACTCCCACCTCATATCTCACTAGCCCCCATTCCCCTCCCAGGGCCTGGCTGCCTCTCTGAACGTATCGCAGAGCTCCAGCTCCCCAGGCTGTTGCAGGGGGCTGTAGGTGGCTCGTGGGGACCTGGGCTCTCAGGCTGCGAGTTCAAATCCAGCCAGGTCAGGAAGTAGCCGGCTGCTGGGCCTGCGTGAAAGCAGCTTGGTGAGTCCCACGCCGGCTCCTAACAGGCCACGCAAACTTGCCTCTGCCATCGACATGGCAGCCAGGGATCAAATGGGCCACAGCGTCTGTCTCTCCGCTTTCCTGAAGGGGGTGCTCCAGGCTGCTGCGCCCCAAGGACACCATAGGCAAAGCAGAGTGGCCTTCTCCAGCCCCCGTCCTCACCTCCCTGCCCTCTCTTCCAGCCGCCCAGAAGGCCCGGGAGCAGTTTGAAGAAGCCGAAAAGTCTCTGAAGGAAATGGAGGATTCCATCCGGTAAGGGGGCAACCGGAGAGGGGGCGGTGAAAGGGGTGTGGCAGGAGTTCAGGCTTGGCATTGGGGCCCCACTTCCACGTCGTTCTCCCCCTCCTCCCCCCCGGCTGGCCCCTAACAAAATTAACTTGAGAAGCCTCAGATGCCGAGAAACGTGACAAAGCTTCTCATGCTAGAGGGTGGGGAACTTTATGGTTAAAGCGTGAGATGGGCAGGCAGGACTCCTGGGTTCTGTTCCCCACTCTAGGACGGGGTGTGGGGTAGCGGGTAGATCTGGACAGGCAGGACTCCTGGGTTCTGTTCCCCACTCTAGGACGGGGTGTGGGGTAGCGGGTAGATCTGGGCAGGCAGGACTCCTGGGTTCTGTTCCCCACTCTAGGACGGGGTGTGGGGTAGCGGGTAGATCTGGGCAGGCAGGACTCCTGGGTTCTGTTCCCCGCTCTGGGAGAGGATTGTGGTCCAGTGGGTAGCGCAGGTGTGGGATAAACAACAGAGGCATCAGGCTGCAGAGACCCAGAAAGTAAAAGTGCCTAGTTTTGTACTGGAGATGAACTGCAGCTAGGGCCAAAAGCCAATTAGCTTTCACCAATTAAGCTGTTAATGAGGATTGGGGATTTTTGAAAATCCCTTCTTGACAATGCTCCTTGATCTCTGCTGCTGTCACACGTCACAGCCTGGCTGTTATGACTGCAGTGTTGCTGCCTGGGGGGGGAGGGGGTTTTAATAGAGACACCCGCCCACCCCCAGGGGACCACGTGTCCCCTCAGAGCTGTTTATTTGGAGCAGTAAATCAGCTTTTCCTTCCCTCCCACCCCAGCCCTGACACCTCCCAGGGGATCACAGTGAGATGGAAGCTGACTATAAAAAAACCCCCCAAGCTGTCTCCTATTGATCGCGTACATGATGGGCCGCTGCGCCCTGCCCCCCCCCCCAAACTCTGGGCCCAGCAGTACCCTTAGCGGAGAGGAAACACCCCCCCGTGCTGGGAGATCTCTCACAACGTGATACCTTCCCGAACTGGGCTCTGGTGCGTGCACAGCAGCTAGGCACTGGAGGCTGGCCCGTGCCAGCTGACGCGGGCTGCGGGGCTGACTCGCTGCTGGGGAGATGTTCGGGCTCAGGCTGGGGCTGGGCTCTAGGACCCTGCGGGGCGGGAGGGTCCCAGAGCTCGGGCTCCAGCCTGAGCCCAGTAGTCCCTGCAGCAATGAAACGGCCCAGCAGCCCAAGTCAGCCAGGGCCCAGCCACGGGTAGACACACACTAAGAGCTGCATTCACCAGTCTCTAACCCACTACCCTCCTGTCCCGGAGTCCCCGGGCGATGCTCTGGAACTGCTCCCTCCAAAGCCAGGCAGGACTCTGGGGAAGTCTCCTTTCTGGGAGCAGCCTGTCTGCAGGACACACAGCTCACCTGGCTTCCACCTTCCTGGGTCTGACCTCGGAGCATTCAGCCTCCTCTGCCCCTCCGTGCGCTTCCCCCAGCGAGTCCACCCAGACAGGGTCCTGGGGAAGCCAGAGGGTCCTGCCCCCCAACTCCGCAGTCAGACGTGACTCTCAGCCAGCCAGTAAAACAGAAGGTTTATTAGACGACAGGAACATGGTCTAAAACAGAGCTTGCAGGTGCAGAGAACAGGACCCCTCAGCTGGGTCCATTTTGGGGGGCAGTGAGCCAGACAACCACGTCTGCACTTCACTCCTCCTCCCCAGCCAGCCCCCAACTGAAACTCTCTCCAGCCCCTCCTCCTCTGGGCTTTGTCCCTTTCCCGGGCCAGGAGGTCACCGGATCCCTTTGTTCTCCAACCCTTTAGCTCTCACCTTGCAGGGGGGAAGGGCCCAGGCCATCAGTTGCCAGGAAACAGGGTGTCGGCCATTCTCTGTGTCCAGACACCTGCACACACCTGCCCTCTAGGGCTCTGCAACGATCATACACTCTTACCCCACACCCTAGATACTTAAGAACTGCATCGGGGAAACTGAGGCACCCCCACACTATTCAGAGGAAACATTAAGAACAGTCCCACTTCGTCACACCCCCCACTCTCCTTCCAGAGCCAGGGAGAGAACCCTGAAATTCTGGCTCCCTCTCTGCTCTTGCTCTAACCACTACATCTCCCTGCTGAAATTGGGGATAGAACTCCGGAGTCCTGGCTCCCCGCCTCTCTAAATGTGAGAACGAGCTACAGGCTATAACCCATTTCAGGGGGAGGTGGGGGTGGGCTCTAAAGACCCTTCTCCTGTTCCTACCAGGCCCCCTGAGTGAGGTAGACAGCCCCCCCTGGAGTTCCAGCTGGGCAGCCTGTTATGATCAGTCAAAATCCACCGATGTCAATTACACCCCCTAAAACAGCAGCAGGTGCCAGACTGGGCCTGTACGTGGAGCCCCTCTTCCAAATCCAAGGGCGTTCCCTGCCCCCCAGCCATGTGACGCCTTCCCCGGGGGGGACACCGGTCTGAGCCATTAGCCAGCCGGGAGGGACAGATTCGCTCCATAAACAGCAAGCGGCCCCGGGGAGCTGGAGAAAGCTGAGGTGTAAGGGCAGTGGGCAGCCACAGGGTAGGAGCCAGAGAAAGTCCGGCGTGATCCAGTGGCTGGAAGCTGGAGCCAGACAACTTCGGGCTGGAAATTAACAGGGAGCATAAGGTGCCGCTGGCCGGTTTGAAATCGAGATAGAAGTTCTCTGGCCTGTGTCCCTATGAACAGGGTGGGTGGGATTGGTCAAGCCCCAGTAGCAGCCTGGGCGAACATGGAGCCTTCCATCCCATCAGGGGGGACGAAAACTCCACGCATCACTCTGCCCCCCAATACTGGGGTGGAGCGCAGCGGCCAGGCTGGACAGCGTGGGACAGGAAGTGGAGCGGGGCGGATCGAATAGGAAGCTGTGGGGGAAGATCCGTCAGGCTGGGATTTGGCCAGGCGTCTGCCGTTCATGCCCCCACTCTGACAAAGTGTTCTTTAGATGGTCCTCAGTGCAGGGATTCTCTGTTCTGCCATCCACGGGTGGGGAAACAGGGGCACGGGAGAGGGATGTGACTTACTACGTGGTCTAGGAGCAAGTTAGCAGCACAGCTGAGGATAGAACCCAGGAGTCCTGACTCCCAGCCCCCTGTTCTAACCACTAGTCCCGACTCCCCTCCCAGAGCGGAAAGCTCAGCTGCCAGCACTCAATTAAGCTAGAGCTCAGCAGCTTGGCCAAGGCATCTGGCCCCCTCCCCTCTTCTCCGGCTGACTGCAGCAGCCGGCCCAAGAGAGGCCAGTAATTGGCAGTAGCCTTAGCTACCAATACCGGGGAGGTAACCCAGACAGCCCCCTCGCTGACAGCAGGTGCCCGAGTCCTCTGGGGTCCGGACCGTGGCAGCTGGCACGTGTGGCGGGAGCAAAGTGAGGCCAGTAAGTTTATACACCCACACGCATACACCCCAATACCCCATCTCTGCCCCTCCCAGGGGCTGGCTGGGGTCAAGCCCAGGAACTGCCTGGCATTGGGCCACCACGTGTACCCCCATATCACCCCCTACTCCATGAGCTAGGCCAGGGGGCTGATGGCAGGGATGGTCCATTGCAAGTGGGAGATGACTTGAGGTCTGAGAATTCCTGTTTGGCACAAAGTGAACTCTGGGAGCCAGGACTCCTGGGTTCTATCCCCAGCTCTGGGAGGGGAGTGGGGTCTAGTGGTTAGAGCAGGGGGGAGCCAGGAGCCAGGACTCCTAGGCTCTGTTCTCAGCTCGGGGAGGGGAGTGGGGTCAAGTGGATTGTGTGGTGGGGGCTGGATTCTATTCCTACCTCAGGCCCTGACACACAAACACCCCCCCGCATACTGTTGCCTCTTTTTGCCTCAGTTTCCCCATTCTAAAATGGGGCGAGTGACTTTCCCCAGCCTGAGGGGGAGAGATGCCACGTCTGCTGGGGGAAAGGGGACGCTGTCTCCAGCTGCCCTTGTTATGCCAGCGAGCTCCACGGGGGGTGGGAGCAAGGGAAGAACAAAGCCCGGCAGCTCCTCCCTCGTGAACCTCTAATGCCACTGGAAGGAGCAGGACCGCTGACTCCTGAGCCAAGGGTGCTGGGGAGTCCCTGCCCTAGCCCTGCCACACAGGGTGAATGGGGGGAGGGATCTAGTAAACCCGTAGTTGCCACTGGGAGTAAAGGGCTGGCATCCCAATGGACCCAGAGAGAGCAGGAAATCATGGAGTCTGGGTGGCCCAGGGAGCAAAGCAGGGGCCATGGGGGTGGAGTCCCTGCTCTGTCACTTGGGCCAGTCACTGAGCCACTCTGTGCCTCAGTTTCCCCAGCAGTACAATATCCCTCACAGGGGGATTGGGAGGAGCCCAGATACTCCGGCGATGGGGGGCGGGGCATGTATGTACCTGAGAGAGCCAGGGGTCTGAAAGCAGCTGAATCATGGGGCTGACCTTCCCCCCCCACTTTGTCCTTCCAGGAGTCTGGAGAAGGAGATCTCGTTTGATTTTGGCCCCCAGGGGGAATTCGCGTATCTCTACAGCCAGTGCTACGAGCTCGCCACCAATGAGTAGGTGCCGGTGATCGGATTGATTCCCCCCTACCGAACGGCTCTGCCCTCGAACCACAGACTTTCACTGGGGCGCCCTGGGACTGACCCACCTCCAGGATCTCCGAGCCAGCCCAAGGTTTTAGGCCAGATTCCAGCTCTGCCTTGGGGGCGACGCCCAACCCCCAGCGTCATGGCGCTCCGCTAACCTCGAGCGACGCCCCGTGGGATGGTGTCATCAGGACGCCTGGGTTCTCTTTCAAGCTCCACCGCCGGCCTGCTGAATGACGTGGGGCAAGTCCCTTCCCTGCTCAGTGCCTCAGTTTCCCCTCCCACTCAGCTCTCGGTCGGGGGTGGGGCACAGACCAGGGGAGTGGCCCTGGTGTCACAGTATGACAATGGCAGAGCCAGGAATAGAACCCAGGAGTCCTGACCCTGTCACGCTCCTGCTCTAACCACTAGCTCCCACGCCCTGACTCAGCCTGGCACCTCTCCCATTTTGTTCCAGCCCACCTCAGCTGGGAGCCCAACCCACATTTGGGCGCCAGTGGGGGGCAGCAGGAACGGAGCTGACTCCTTGGCATCTGGCTGGGCCAGTCGTCGGACGTGGGGTGAGCGGCTCTCGGCGTGGCACGGCCCCTCCCAGAGAGGAGCGGAAAAATCTCCCACTTCTTCCCCCCCCCCCGCTCAAAACAGGTCAAACTTCGTCCCTGAGGCCTGGCTCAGCTGCGGGGGGAGGCAGGGTCCGAGCTCTGATTCCAGCTCAGCGATTCTTTTACAGAAAGCTGGGGGGCAGAGCTGAGCTGCTAGGCCAGGACTTTTCCTGGGGCTCAACCCCCCATCCCCACCCCCAGATTTCCCGCCCCTAAACTGCTCAGCACTCGCCTGGGGATTTGAACTGGGAAAACCCAGCCCCTTGTTAGGAACCTAACAGGAGTGGTGCCGTCTCTCTCACCCCTACTAATCTCTCACAGATGTATCCTCCCAACCCCCCTATGAGCGTATCTCCATTGTACAGATGGGGAAACTGAGGCCCAGAGGGGGCATCATCTGCCCACACTCACATGGTGTGGTAATGGCTGAGCTGGGGATAAAACCCAGGAGTCCTGACACCCACCTCCCTTGCTCTTACCACTAGACCCCACCCCCCTCTTGGAGGAGGGTTGCCTGGGAATCCGGACTCCTGGGTTCTGTCCAAGCTCTGTGACGGGAGGGGGGATCTGGTGGTTCGTGCCAAGCCGGGAAACTGGGGGGCTGGTTTCTATCCTCAGTGCCTCATCTCACTTGTGCTCTGACCCTAGGACAAGCTGCTGGCTCCGTGCCTCGATTTCCCCTTTCACTCTCTTGGGGCTACCGCTGTGTGGAGTGCTCTGAGATCCAGGCGGCCCTCACGCCGTTTGCAGGGGGAATTAACCTGCCTGGATCAGCTTCTCCAGATCTCTGCACAGCCCTGGGGAGGGGGGTGGTATCTGCTGTGCTTCATGTCCCCCCCCATCCCCATCCCCGTCCCCCGTATTTCCTTGGCTGCCAGATGGATGCGCTCACTAACGAGTTGTTTTTTCCTGGTAGCTATTTAGGGCTAATTTCCCCAGAGTCACAGAGCAGCTCCCAATGGCTGTCCTGTCTCTTTAAGGCAGGTTCCTCCCCCCCACCCCCCAATCCCCTGAAATCATTGCCCAGGAGGTAGCACCACGAGGGGGGAGGTGGGGGATCAGCTGGGAAATGGAGCGGGAGGGGGGTAGGAAGGGAGGAGCAGGGGTGGTGGCTGGGGAATGAAGGGAGAGGGGAACGGGGCCTCAGCAGGAAAGCGTAGGGGGGCCCCCCAGCCCCAGGAGGGGCGCTTGGCCTCTGCCTACTTCTGGGGCTGCAGCTGGGCCGAGTCCCGTCAAACTCATGTCACGCAGGCTGGGGCCGGGCAGAGCTGGGGAGATGCCAGCTCTGCCCCGGGCGGGGGTGTCAGTCCCTCACCATGCTCTTCCCCCCCCCCCCCCCCGGCAGGTACGTTTACCGGCTCTGCCCCTTCAACAGAGTGTCCCAGAAACCCAAACACGGCGGAGCCGAGACCAACTTGGGGTAAGACAGAGCTTGCGGCACCCCGGGCCAGCGGCCCCCCTGCGCCGGAGCCGCGCCCCCCCGGCGGGGAAAGGCCCCAAATCCTATTTCCTGCCCCCCTGGGCCAGCCAGTCCTCACCCTGGGACTCGACTGGAGCTGGAGTCCCGTAGCGGGGAAAAAACCTCATTCTCCACCCCATCCCCTGCCCCCTCCCAAGCCAGCCTGTCCCTGCCCTGAGGTGGGATCAGAGCCAGCGGGGCGCTAGAGGGGAAAGGCCCCATGATCCATTCCCAAGGCCTCTATCTCTCCCCCCCTCCCCCCCCGGCATTGCCCTTGCAGAGGGTGGGGATCAGGGGTGGCTTCTGTGGGGTGCTGACCTTTGACACCCCCCTTGCAGCACGTGGGGTTCGTGGGCCGGCCCGGACGAGAGCAAGTTCAGCCTCATGAAGTATGAACACGGGACAGGCTGCTGGCAGGGCCCCAACCGCTCCACGACAGTGAGTGACCCGGCCTGGCCCTGTGCCCCCCACCCCAGCCCTGAGCCGGCCTGCCGCCCCCACCCTCTGCCCCCCGCCCCATCCTCCCATGGCGGGGCGTGAGCCCAGCCGGCGCTGCGCCCACAGAGATGCCCCTCCCTGCCCTGAGCCGGCCTGGGCTGGCATCAGAGGAGCACGGTACCCCTAGCTCAGAGGGCAGCGGGCTGGGGAAGGGCTCGGTCCTGGGAGTTGGTGCCACAGGCACTCTGACCCCCAGCCGAGGGCGGGCGAGAGCCAGCTGCTGAGCCGGACGGCGCCAGGCTGGGAATAGTGATGCCAGGTTTGCCCGGCGAAGGATGGGAGCCCTGGAGCAGCCGCCGGCAGCGGTGTCCCCCTTAGCTCTGCCCCCACGCCCCAGTGCTGCATCCTCCTTCAGTGTCAGAGCCCGCAGGTCCATGGGGAGCCCCTGTGTACAGCCAGTCAGATCCGCCCGCCCCCAGCCATTCCTGGCTCAGACGCCCGGCTGGCTGTGGGCTGGAGGCAGGCACTGGGGGGTTGGTGGCGGGGGGAAGGGGGGGGTGTCTCTGGGCCCAGACAGGCAGACTGTAACAGAAATCGCCATGGGGGCTTTTCCGGAGGTGCCCCAGGGCATGGCTGGGAACCTCTCCCCGCACCCCAGGCTCACCATCGCCCTCCGGCCCTCAGGTGAAGCTGACATGCGGCAAAGAGACCGTGGTCACGTCCACCACGGAGCCAAGCCGCTGCGAGTACCTGATGGAGCTGGTGACGCCGGCCGCCTGCCAGGAGCCCCGCGACCCTGGCGCCGCTGACCACGACGAGCTGTGAGGGGCCAGGAGAGCCAGGTATGTGCCCTCCTTGCCCAGCCCCCTACCTCGTGGCGCTGGGGGGACCGGGAGTGGAGGGGGGTCCAATCCTGGTTCGGGGGGGAAGCGACTGGAGCCCGGAGCAGGGATAGGACCAGCCATGTGTCCTTCGATAGCCCAGGCTGGGCGTGCCTCGGTTTTTCCCTGCCCCCAGGGCAGGGAGGGGCTTGGCATGCCTCAGTTTCCCCATGTGTGACTGATCCTTGCTGCTCTTCGGGGGCCCCAGGGGTTTCCTGCTGGCATTAGTGGGGCTGCATCCCCTTCCCAGTGCCTGGTGCCCCCCATCTCACGGAGCACCTTCTCTCTCTCTCTCTCTCTCTCTCTCTCTCTCTCACAGAGAATCTCTCCCACGGCCCCACTTCCCAACCAGGCCATTCCAGGGGGTGGCTGAGGACGCTGGTCCAGTGACTCTCCTCCCCCAGCCCTGATCCAGACCTCACCACTGCCCACAGCTGTGCCCCCTGCTGCCCCCACCGGGATCTCCCAGCACCCGCCTGTCCGGACAGACGCCCATGGCCTGCCAGCCAATTTTGGATCTTCAAGATCCTTGGTGCCTTTTCTACACCAGAATGAGAGTCGTACCCCGTGCCCGCCGGGCAGCTGCCAGCTCCCCACCCGGCACAGGGCCGGGCCCTGCTGCTACAGGCTGCCTCCACTGGATTCCCCTTCAGCCTGGCACAGGTCCCTGGCAGTGCCCCCGACGCCCTGGGTGGATCTGCTGGGAGCGCCGCCCACGTGCCCAGTGACTCGGGGGCTCCTGTCATCAGCAGAGGATCCTGAGGCCAAAAACTTCCATGCCAGGAGGGTGCCCCCCCTACACCCAGGAGCTGCCCCTTGCCCCCAGCCCCTGCTGTCGACTGAGCCAGGCCGGGAGGCCGAGGGCGGGGAGGCCCTCAGGGGTCCCGGCCCCCGGCCAGCGACACGGGAGCGAGCGGAGAGAACACGCGTCAAGGATTTCCATCTCAATAAAGAAAAGTTTCGCTCCAGCTCTGCGTCTGTCCTGAGCCCATCACCGGCGGGGCTGGGCTAGCCGGGGTCTGCAGGGCGGGAGTGAGGGGCACCAGCAGAGCACGGGGGGAGCCCAGGGGCTGGGCTAGCAGGGGGCTGCGGGCCGGGAGTGAGGGGCACTGGCAGATCTGGGGGGGAGCGCCCCTCCCCGCCATGCCCATCCCATGGACCTCTCCCGCTGCTGCCGGCTCTGGGCTGGCAGGGAGCTAAGGGGGGGCCTTTGGTGCCTTTCCTCTGCTCGCTCCTGTTGCCGCCCCCACCCCATTTCCATAACAAAGGGCCCCCGCTGCCCCCACTCCTAGCTGAGCCCCCAGGTGCCTGCTGGGGGGGCGGGGGGGAGCTCCCAGCACAGACAGTGCCCCAGGTCATCTCCCCATCAAGGGGGAGGGTGGGGCAGGCTCCTTCCTCTCCCACCTGCCTGAGTTTTAAGGGGGGCTCTGCACTAACCTCGTGTCTTGTGGGGGAGGGGAGGCCTCTCTGGCCTTTGTGCCCCAGCTGATCTGCCCCAGACCCCCCCCCCCCCCGACCCATTGGAGGCGGATAGGGGAGGAAGGGGGCCCAGGCGGGGGAGCGGGAGGCCCGGGGCAGCGCCCAGCCAAGCTGCCCAGTCTGCATCGTCCCACCCCAGTGCCTGGCAAGGCAAGGCAGAGCTGCGCTCTGGGCCCTGAGTCTGTTCTGCTGCCCTTCCGGGTCGTGCCCCTTGGCGTCTCGCTCGGAAAGCCCCAGCTGCTGGAGTCCAAGGGAGCTTGGCCACCCTAGCCGAGGGAACACTCCCATTTTAGAGGAAGGCTCCATTTCCAAACGGTCGGTCAGGGGTTTAATGGGCAGGGGCGAGAGTACCGATCGGGGCCCCTGGAGCCCTGGCTTTGAGCCCCGCCTCTGCCCAACCCTTGGGCAAGTCATGGTCCCGCCCTCTGCCTCAGTTTCCCCACCTGTCAAATGGGGCTGAGCGCATTTGGACAGTGCTGCGTGATGACCAGCTTTCTGGAAGGGCTCAGGGTCTTTTAGCAACACGGCTTAACGCCCCCAGAGCACCTCCCATTCCTGCGCTCCTCGCCAGCGGCTCGGGCCTGCCATGCTCAGAATGGGTGTCCCATCCCCCCCCTCATGGAAAGGGTGTCTGGAGAACGTAACCCCCAAAAGGGTCACAACAGGAAACAAAAAGCCCTATGCAGAAAAGGATCTGGAGGTTACAGTGGACGAGAAGCTGGATATGAGTCAACAGGGTGCCCTTGTTGCCAAGAAGGCTAACGGCATTTGGGGCTGTATAAGTAGGGGCATTGCCAGCAGATCGAGGGACGTGATCGTTCCCCTCTATTCGGCATTGGTGAGGCCTCATCTGGAGTCCTGTGTCCAGTGTTGGGCCCCACACGACAAGAAGGATGCGGAAAAGTTGGAGAGAGTCCAGCGGAGGGCAACAAAAATGAATAGGGGGCTGGAGCACATGGCTTACGAGGAGAGGCTGAGGGAACTGGGATTGTTTAGTTGTGGAAGAGAGGAATGAGGGGGGATTTGATAGCTGTTTTCCACTACCTGAAAGGGGGTTCCAGAGAGGAGGGAGCTCGGCTGTTCTCAGTGGTAGCTGATGACAGAATGAGGAGCGATGGTCTCAAGTTGCCGGGGGGGAGGTCTAGGTTGGATATTAGGAAAAACTTTTTCACGAGGAGGGTGGTGAAGCACTGGAATGGGTTCCCTAGGGAGGTGGTGGAATCCCCTTCCTTGGAGGTGTTTAAGGCCCGTCTTGACAAAGCCCTGGCTGGGATGATTTAGTTGGGGATTGGTCCTGCTTGGAGCAGGGGGTTGGACTAGACCCTCCTGAGGTCCCTTCCAACCCCGATACTCTATGACCTGCGCACACCTGAACCCACGCACATCTGAACCCACGTGCTTGTTACAAATACCATGATTTCTGAGCCACGCTCAGGATTTTGAAGGCCTCGGGAGTGATTGGTTTACAATCTGGCAGTTGGGAATGCTGCGGCCTGGGGAGGGTTGAACGCCCACCCCTCTAACGCCAGGCACCCCCACGCGAACACACCCCCCCCCCCTCGCACGCACAAACACACACGCCCAGCTCCACGCGTCGTCCCCCACCCACCCACCCCGCACACAACAGAGAGAGACGCGTAAGATTCTGAACTTTTTAATTTTCTGGCATGAAAAGTACAAATAATTCAACAAGTCCATGTAAAAGTTCCTTACAGTCGCTGTGCCGGAAATCCCAGTAATAAATTAACTAAATGCAAAGTGTCATTGAAATCAGCTTTAGCTTTGTGTGTGGTTTTTTTACCGCAGTTTTTTGTTCTTTTTTTCCCCCTAAACCCCCTTCCTCTCGGCCCCTCGCTCACCCTGCCCGGCGTGATTTCGGTTTTGGCTTCAAAACCTTTGCAAATAAATGAACCGCGTGAAACTACAGAGCGGAGGGGGGGGAAATACGCAGTCTCCAGCGACCCACTTCGCCCCCTCCACTAAATCCACTACAAGGTAGGTGGTGGAGAGGGTGAGAGAGGATTAGGAGAATGTCCCCCAGGTTATGAAACCCACCCCCCATTTCCACGACCCATTTCTTGGGAGCAAATTGTCCTCGCAACTAGGAAAGGAAGTAGGAGTCGTCTCCTCCGGGCTGGCTCGGCCGGAGACTCGGCCTGTTCTGATCTCCGGTTCGCTTGAATAACCCGACAGTGCTTATTGCTACTAGAAAAAATATTGGGGGCGACGGGTTGACCTGATCGGCTATGGAGAGAAGCTTTCTCCTTTCCCCTGCTGAGAGCTCGTCTGCAGCTGCAGGCGGCGCATCGGATGCCAAGGATGGGTGGGGGGTAGAGGGGGAGGCTTGAAAGAAACCAGACCTTGGTTCTCCAGCCCAATCCAGCCGGCGGCAACTCCCAGCGGTGCAAAGTCAGCTCTTCTCCACCGGCCCTGATTCAGCAATGTTCTTTATGCCACACGGCTGTGGAGTGGCCAGTGGGTAGGGTCACTTCTCTCTGCTGTGTGACCTGGGGCAAGTCACTTCCCAGGGCCGTGCCTCAGTTTCCCCTCCCAGCCTTTGTGTATTTAGCTCTTCAGGACAGGGACCATTGCTCACTCTGTGCCTGGGCCACACAATGGGGCCATGATCTTGGTCGGGGTCTGTGCAGCGCCCGGCACAACGGGAGGCCCTGATCTCAGTCAGGGTCCGTGCAGCGCCTGGCACAACGGGGCCCTGATCTCAGTTGGGGTCTGTGCAGCGCCCGGCACAACGGGGCCCTGATCTCGGTCAGTGTCTGTGCAGCGCCTGGAACAACGGGGGCCCTGATCTCAGTCAGGGTCTCTGCAGTGCCTGGCACAACGGGGCCCTGATCTCAGTTGGGGTCTGTGCAGCACCTGACACAACGGGGCCCTGATCTCGGTCAGCGTCTGTGCAGCATCCGGCACAACGGGGGCCCTGATCTCAGTTGGGGTCTGTGCAGCGCCCGGCACAACGGGGCCCTGATCTCAGTCAGGGTTTGTGCAGGGCCCAGCAAGGTAAAACCCCCTGATCTTAGTTAGCTCTGTAATCCTGCTCACATGCTTAAATCTGTTGCTGAATCAGGTCCAGAGGGAACTGCAATTTGCCCCTTAACATGCACAATATTGGCTTCATGGGAGGCTCTTTTTAAAAGAAAAAAAAACTGAAATAAAAGGAAATCCATCACCCAAATCAAATCGATCCTTGGTTTTACGTTGCGGGGGTGGTTGAGTGCTGAGGGCTGTGTTATGTAGGGGCGAAAGGGCTAATAAATACACACAAGAAGAAGAATAGATAAAAACGACAAGCTAGAAATTTGATTCCCTTAACCTGCTAGAAGAATGAAGAGCAGAAACAGGTTTGCAATTCCCCCCTACAAGACAAAAGTAATCGACGTAACATTGATTCCCACAGACACACTTTTGTAGATAATCGATCTATATGCTTTTCTTTTTTTGCTTACATTATCCCCCTTAATTTAAGTCAGTGCACTTCGCCTCGATCGGAGAATCTGTCCTTACACGTTTTAGTCTTTTTTATTATGATGATTATTATTTGATTTTTCTGTTCCCTTTTTCTTTAATAAATAAATTAGGTAAAACCACGTCTCAGCAAATTAAAAAATAGTTCCTTTTTAACTTGCAAATCTGATGAGATAACATAAATATACACAAATGTACTCGTACAAGGCAGTAATAATAAATATTTAAGTTAACAATAAGTTAAAACTACAAGAAGCTAAAATCCGCAAAAAGATACAAGTTAATGGTGCCAGTTAAAATTTTTTTTTGTCATTTTTGTATGTTTTTTCGCAAACAGAAGCTCTCACAGATTCTTACAAACACAGAACACATTTATCTTCAAAAATCAAGAAATCCTAAACTAACTTCTAAATCATTTAAACAATTAAAACTCAACTAATGCTAAAAGGTTTAATTATCATTACGTTCTCTTTTTTACGTTGTTTTTTGTCCCGTTTGTTTTCTAAAGTGAAAGACTTGGTCTCGTTTTTGTCAAACCAAAAATCGAAAATCAAATTAAAAAAACCAAAAACAAAACCTAAACCCAAAAGTAGCTGATGTGTGTTGTTTTGGGAGGTGAGCTGTAACGTGAATCGCCAAGATGTGCCTTGGCTAAAGCAAGAGCAATTGCGTTTCCCCCTTTTTAAGGTTTGGGAGTTAGTTTAAATCAACGTAATTTCCGCTCGCTCTTGGAAGGGCGGAGTAGAAAAGAAAAGCAGACAGGTGCGTTAGTAACACCATTCTAAGGATCGCTCCCTTCCATCACTGAAGCTGCTCTATGCGGCTACGAACGAAAGAAGCCTACAGAGCAAAACGAATGATTGTTTAAAAAGTCTGTCGGGACTCCTGAAAGATTTATTCGCTCTATATTTTGGCTTAGACGTGAGACACTGGAAGATATTTTCTCAGAAATGGCTGGACTTCAAGGAAAGTGTTTTTTCAACAGAAATCCAGGAAATTGCCCCTTTGA